CAGTTCTTAACTCTCTCCTAGTAGAACTTTGCAAGTTCTCCTCCTCATTCTACATCAGGTGTACCAAGTTCTTGTCTGACCTTAAACCTTTCCCAGCGAAAGCACTCGCATCTGTAAACACAATACGCTCCGGCGTACATTAGTAACGAAGTCAGACCAAAATAACAGTTCATTTATTGCCTCGGATGATATTAAAGTTCGGTGATCCCAAGAATCCCACAGACATACAGATATATATACAGACATTAGATGACATATATACTACCTAATGCCAATTTGAAGGTTTTTGTATTTCTTACTACCGAAACCACGTCTCATGCCATTAAACGATTTTTTTTTATATTTCTGAAACTATCAATTAATTTTAAACTTGAAACTATCTTATGGAAATTTCTAGATTCAAATTGAGACTTACGAGTACACTTTTCCTACGTATCACCAGCCATCGTCTAAATAGACCACAATGGGGACGCCATGCATACGAGTACCCGCACAACTTTTATGAAAATGTGACCAAGCAAAACCAAGCCCATTTTTCCAGCAGAAACCTAAACATTTCTGATGCTCCGAATGAATATCAACATGATGATAGCCACTTTTGAGATCAAATTTACAGATGCACCTTGCTGTTCATAATGCAAAGCCTCGTTCACACCCTCAAATTTAACCTTCACCTTTTCAACATACTGATTTACGTGTCTTAAATCGAAACTAATCTCTTTTCCCCGGTTCTGTTAATTGAAACTGTCGATGGATTGCAGACATATGGACGTTTAACCTATTTTACACACACAACCTTAAACAATTCATGTATAGCTTGAACTACGAATTCAGAATTATTAATGACGGACCGATTATTTTTCAAAATTGTTGGACTTTGGTCACTTTTAAAAGGGATTCTGTAACGACCTTTTACTGTGCTCAAAATAAAACTTTTAAAAAAAAATCTTGCCAATACAAAACATGATTTTTTAAACGCTGCGAAGTTACTGGGGACACTAGTCTGCTGCCCGTAGTAATTCTCGCCGATTGCTGAGGCTGAATGCATGACTGATGACGTGGTGCAGTTTCTCGCGAAGAGGCCGGGTTGTCTACAGTAGAAGCAGAGCATGTTTTTTTTTTGCGCTGTAAATATTGTTTCCACATTGCTGTTCACATGCTTTGTTAAAGCCACGATAATGTCATTTCGTACAAATCTTGTTTACCCCTGTCTGCTGATTTCCTTTCGCAACGTTTTCCCCGACTGACATTAGCTCGCTTTCTAGCCGCCCTGTTAACGATAGCAAGCAACTCGATGACGTTATCATTATCACCGCCGAGAGGATGGTCCAAATATTCATGAACAGTGTCCCACTCTTGGCGGTCCGCAGTTTTAAATAGTTTGTTACGGTGTTTTAGTGTGTCCTTCTCCTCCCTCAGAACCTTCTTAAAGTCCTCTGTTTGCTGCAAACTGAAAGGTCTCAAACCTGGAATGTCCAGCTAACATTTCAGTGTTCAAATTAAACTGTAGTTTATGACCTTCATATTAAAATTCATAAGCATTAGTCCCTGGCTTATTCACGGACTCCGTGGCGCATGTGCCTCGCACACTGCTAAGAATTTCCTGTGTTTACTTTTGTAGAACTTTTTTTTGTAAAGTGATACAAAGATACGGCGTCTTCGGTACTAACAATATTATCACTATGTAACTCGCTAGTATCTTCATGGATAGAAAGCAAAGCATCGTCGATTTTTGTGTCGACATTCGCCATACCAAGGTATAATTCCCAAATAAACCAATGTACATGTTGTAGGGTTGAGCAACCAACTCGAAAGACCGCATTATCCACGTGCATGCATTACATAGCCCTAAACCACGTGACATCCACCCCGATGTCCACATCGGTGCACTATACACGCGAATAGTTGCGGAAACAACCGAACTTAATTTTCTCAATCGTAACCCCTGAGTATTGAGGCTGTAATAAGTTCTGATAAAGTCCGTATAACTATTTCTTTATCAATGGTGTTTTCTCGTGGCCCACTGGTTTAGAAATGATTATGATAGGTAGGGTCTATATATACATCTATCTAAATCGTTATCAGCGTATTTATTGACAAGGATTAAAGACCGTAAAGGGGAGTAACTCCGTCAGTCTACAGAGAGATCCACGTGTCTGCCGTTTTATTCCTTGTTTGGTACTACTGCATCCAACTCTAAATATGTATTGAAATAGGGTTTGCTTTGTGTGTCTTTTGTACAAGTTTTAATTCGATCGAATAATAACAAGAATCAGAATATAAACATGTACTCTTCTGAAATTACCTTCCATACATCTGGCGATAGTGTATCATCACACCTACAGTTTGACATTTCATCGAGCACTAGAATTTTCCTCGGTCGTGCCCAAGGTAGACCCCAAAATCACTGACGAGTCCTAGAAGGACAACACATCCATATGGTGCAGGTTAATTGATTATTTAGTTCTACTGTATCAGACTCTAAATTTGTATTAAAAAGTGATATTCTTTTTTGTACAATTTTCAACAAACTTTTGGCTTATAAAGATTATAAATTATGTTTGAATGAATAAAAGGCATTTCTGTTTGCAATGTTGAGTGTGTGACGGAGGTAATCTCTTCGTCCTTATTTCTCCATAAAACGTTTTACTCTCTACATTTCTTACGATTTTCTCCGTGTCTGATATTTGTTCTGTATCACACCAATTTAGAAATCATATATGAATAAAACATGGAAACACAACTAATGCTTTCACGTTATAGGCTTGTAATGTTTACGAAATAGCAGATACAAACATGATGTTATTGTATATGATATTTCTTTCACTCGAGTTAGTTAATATTCAAAAGTAACTAAAAACACGAGTTTTAGCAAATGTTTGTGCAGCTTTTGAAAGCTTATTAACGATATAAAATAAATATTTAAACAACTACGAGTTTATAAGACATGTTTCTACCACAACGAAAAGCTGTTATGAGGATGAATTGTTTACATCAGTTAGGGTGTCATGATTTGACCTGTAGGGAAATGTTCCCAATCAATATTCAAAACTAACAATTTCAGAAATATGTGGAAATATCATAATTCATTACCAATCAGGAAAAGTAATAAACTGATTCATAATTTTCAATACAATAGATAGATAAAAATCCATATTAGATTAATCAACTTATTACAAAAACAATCGTGGACTACTTACGGCGTTTTAATTCCGACGAGTGCAGGAAGTGCCTTTTCGGTCAAAGTTCTACTCCTCAACCAATCAAAAGTCCTAAAGGTCATATACCACTAGTAGTATATATCTGAGAGTGCATAACCACATTGCATTGTGATAGAAAGTTAACATTAACTGAATTAACTAATCAATGGCTTCCTTACTACTGAACCATATGTCTTCGCCCTTTCCACGCCCATCATCACCAATTCTTCAATAACTAATTCATAGTCCATCTGCATTACATCTTTTCCCCCATGCACCAAAAATCCATTTTATCTACTCGGTGCGTCCGGGTTACGTTAAGTATAAAGTCCACTCCGTTTACAACTTCGTTTCTTTTCTCCCGTTAGATCTCAAATAATTCTTCTCTTAATGCCGCACCCCCTACCCTTATGTCTTCCCTTTAGGTTGCGAATTACCCTTTTATAGATACCGCATCCTTTCCTTTCTTTTTTCCTTAAGATCACGAATTAAATTTCTGTAGACGCCGCTTCCTTTCCTTTCTTTTCTCCCTTCTGGTCACAAAATTGTCTCTTAAGACGCGCCACGCCTATCCTTCCGTCTCCCCTTTAGATCACGAATTATCCTTATCTAGACGCCGCATCCTTACCCCTCTGTCTTCCCGTCAGGTCATGAATAATTCCTCCCTAGACGCCGCACGCCTACCCTTCTGTTTTCCCTTTACATCACGAATTATCCTTCTGCAGACCCCTGCATCCCTACACTTTCCTTCCTCACCCCCAACAATTACTGTAGTGTACTGACGAAACTTTCGCCATTTTATCAATATGGCAAAATCAGTGAAACCTTGGCCAAAGTTTCAAATTACATGTATAATATTTATCTAATTAATACGAACTGAAAACCGACCAGTTTTATGCCAAGGCGATAAAAACAATCCCGGGCGAATGTTTCTCCCACATACAGTAGAATATATATTTATAATACAAAAGTTCAGAGTCCGTTTTTAAAGTTTAATATAATCGTAGTCTATATTCTATATTTACAAGCAACATGTATAAAAAACTAGAAAATTATTGTAAATGTATGGTCTATATATAGTACGTAATATGTGCGAGGGAATTGTGATAATTCCTTGAAAGTAAACAAGTAAACAATATTATGCTTTTCACGATTATGTTTACAATTGTACATTGCAAAAAAGTCATTGACTATTTATGAATAACATTGATGACAACAGTTCAGGAATCGCCGCCCAAAGATATAAACGGTAGTCCCCCCTGTTAACAAAGTTACGGTAAATAGAGGTATACGATGTCACGTGATATTTAACTCGTCGTCATCAAATAATATCAACTGTAAATAAAATATAGACAATATACGTATAACTAGGAATACTATTTTCATCCAAAGTAATGCCAACAATACAACTACTTACGATAGCATATTCGTGGCAGACCACGATTTTCTAAGCTAGATAAAGATGTGGGTACGAGTAGGTGTAGCACTTTCTCAGTTCATACAAAATTATCAAAAAGTCAGTCACATTTACAAATAACTCTACTTCCAAGAAAAAAATATCACATGCGTCTATAATATGTCTTTAAAACTATTCTACTGTCAAAAGTGTATTATTTTCATAAAAATTTCTCCTTTTTTTCATATAGATATGCACAAATTTATCCTTGTTTGCTTGAAGTGCACCAGCTGCTAGCCTGTTCAATATTTCTGTATGAATGTATAACGTTATATCATTTTATTAAATGTTTTCTTTTGATTACAGTTTTACCCACGATTGCTCGTTGTGTACTAAACAATGTATTACGGTACGTAAGCACGTGAGTCTGGGTTGTCGTACAGCAAATCACCCCCGTTTGTAAAAGCGTCCGGGCCATACCCAAAAGGCATGGCCATGGGTGGCCCTGGTGTCATGAATGTACCGCCCATAGGCTGACCTGCCATATAGGCTCCACCCATAAAGCGCTTGCTCCTCCTGGAAGTTCTTGGTTCTGTGACATAGTACGGGCGAGGGGAGCGTACGTAGACCGGATCGGAGACCATGACTGGCGGCGCTGGCAGGGCAGGAAGTCGGATGGGTACGGGTCGCCTAGCAACCATCATCGGTGCTTGTTGTTGAATTACAATTGGTGCAGGCTGTGGGACCGGAACAGGTACGGGTCGGTCAACAAACTCCTTAACCACCTGACGCTGTATGACAGGTTTTGGAACCTCGACGTACTTCACTTGTGGTGGCATCATGACCGGCTGTGGTACAACAACCGGTTGTGGTACCGGAACCTCTACAACCTGAGGGGGTGCTTGAATCATTTGAATGGGCTCCGGTCTGGCAATGGTGTAAACAGGTTCTGGAAGTGCAAGAGGCTCTCTCTTGGAAATCTCGGATTGTATGGTCAAACGATCATCCACGTACTCCACCTCCTCGACACGTCGCTTCACGATCACTTCTCGGGTACCGATGAAAAAATTCCTCACCAGCAAAATGGACATGACAAGTGCAAAGAGAATAGCTAGCACGCATGCAATGGCTACCAATGCCAATGAGTACTCGGCCACTATCGAACCGCCCACTGCCCGCGTTCCTAATCCCCTCATATTCTGTACCACAGCTACACCGAACCAGATCACGGATACCAGCCAACACAGACCTGCAAAACAAGACGTTGTATTATAAATTATACACATTTGTGTCTAGAGGAGCTAGTGTAAATAAGTTAACCAGTTATATAGTATAAAACCTGTTAAAATTACTGGAAACTAATAAAAATAAAAGATCAATTTCAATCACACGTCAATTTATTCTTCTGGTATAGAGAAGTCTTCAGACATCTGTGTTTGTTTAGAAAAATCTTAATATAACGATAGATTCTAATGGATTAACTTAGAGAGACAGTCTGTAAACTTTATCATAACAATACTTTTAACAGGTTATTATCTCACCTGCAAGTAGAGTTAGCCATGTGACGTGGAGGAGCTTCCGCTTGTCAGTAAAGCAAGCCACACAGCCACAGAATTCTGTAGGATCCCATAGAGTGAAAACAGACGTTACCATGGCAGCCAGCAGGAAGACGATGCCCAGGACGTTAAATATTATACATCCAATATAGTTACCTGAAAGAACGAAATAAGAGAATTATAGTGTTGTGTGTTTTACCGAAATATTTGAAGATATACAATAAATGAAGGACATTAGAAATGTGACGTATAGAAAAAATATATGACAATATGCTGTGAGTTATCTCTAAATATGGTCAACCTCGTGGTCACTTTAAAGTGCCATTTCACTTAAATGTCACATCGCATCTACACTGGCCTGACATCCTACTGCCATCGAGAGGGACTGGTTATGTCTGTGTACAATATGCATTTAGAATCCTTTATTACAAATTTAAGTGTGCTGAAAGAACTGAAATATCTTCAACGTCCGATAGGGATTAATCAAGAGCAGTTTAAATGACTTTAATGTCTGTCTTTGGCAGAACCAATTACTTTCCCGATAGAGGCAAAACACTTCAAGTAAATTAGGGGAGACAATTAGAAAAGTAGGGAGACGAGGAAAAAGATTCAGTGGTCTTATTCCATTGAATCAGAGGTATAATTCTGATCTAAAAAGGTCCAGGTCTGACAATAGGAAACATGATTATCTATTTCATGTCTGTTGACACATTTCTCCCAAATACAAATCCTCGGACACTTTTCAGACACGTATCTCGGAGTTCAGTTGAAACCTGATTTAAATTTGACTAACGCATTTGTCATTTGAAAAAAACAACTTATCAAAATGCTTTTACAGTCCAACAATGGTGTCTTTTTGATTATTGGAAGAGATAAGTCGTCCCATGAGACATCTTTTAATATGATGCCCCCTCCCCACTCCCTACAGCTGTACAAATTGATAGCATTTTTTCAGGGCGGGGAGCAGGGAAGTGTAATTTGTATTAGTGTCATTCTCTGTCACAAATAAAAAGTCACTTCTATGCATTTTAAAACATATTAGAAAATATGTTCTTCACCAGACTCTCAGTATACTTTAAGTTCAATTCTAACTTTAAAATAACTTATTTGTAAACAAATAAAAATAGTTCAATGACTGGCTGCAAACTCTACAAACACCGCGTCATTAAACAGAAATGTAAAATTTATGGTTGCATTTTTTTTGTTAATTTGTTGTTGTAGAAGTTGTTGAGTTGACAAGGTAATGACTGGAAATGTTTTAACTAGTATCCCATTGGGACTGGAAACACCGACCGAAATCGGGGAAATAAAGTATCAATTTTTTTAATTGGGAATAGACCCGTTTACCGGACTCTATAAATACCTCCGATTCTACACACGAGTAAATCCTTTCTGTGTTTACATTGTGTTTGGAAATCTCGCCGGGAACTCTGTGACAAGAACAGGTAAATCTAGGGCGAGAACATGATGCATGACTTTTCATATTAACAGCGGATCAGCGTTCCGTATCTTATACAAAATTCAGACGTCATTCAAACTGCACTACACACACTTATACGATAAAATGTAACAAAAAAAGTGATCAGATATGCCTCGTCTCTTCACTTCACTGTTCACATGAACCAGCGGAATTTAAGATAATGCACATTTTGTAAAGAGGTTTATCAGTATCGAGCTTACGATATGTCTTTTGTTAGTAGCAAAACTGCAACACATATAGTGATGACAACGTCAGTTTATGAATGTCGTTAAGACTGTCATAATATAGGACACATTAAATTTAAAAAAAAAAACAAACCAATGACGAAGACGTTGTCACGACGACAGACGAAAGTTTCGCCTAAACGCCTTCAGGTAAAAATACTTGTCAAACCAGATCGTCAGGTATTTTTTTTATCATGTTACGGATTTTCATGCAAAGGGTTAACGTTGCTAGATTTTATTTATAAAGCATGGAAATAAAGTACTTTAAAGTCCCCGAGTAAAGCCGCGGTCTTAGCTGTAACAAACACTTCTGAAGGCCACATAGGTCATCATAGTAGACATACGGTCCTTTAGAAAAAAAACTGGTAGTAATTGGTGTTAACTTGCCGAATAACCGGTCACATGACCCCATTTATTTCAGGTGAACTACTTCTGCCAGCAGGTTCTTTTTAACGTCTCACAATGGGAAAAGTGTAACGTAACATACAAGTAGAGCATCGAGATTAACGAACGACAACCGCAAAACGGTGCATCGAAGCTGTCTTTTTTATGCAATATTTTTTAGTTTTTTTATTTGAATAATGCAAATTTATACGTTATTGATGAGAAAATATGTTAGAATACCACGTTAAGGCGTTTTCAGTAGTTCTCATTCCGCTGATCCATATCGAGGCACAATATACCGTTATTTTCTGTGAAATGTTTCCTAGGTAGTTTAAATTTTTTTCTATGAAAACACCTGCGAAAAGAATCGGAAAGTTTTTGTTCACTGCCCTTGAGAGTTATAAGTTGTCGAGAGAATTTTACACATAAATCAGATTCCAATGAGCTTTCGGGTCAACAGAGCTTTAGTCAGCTATCGAGTTCCATTGAACTGCTCGTTTCCGTCAAACCAACTGCATTAAGACTTGTGAGACAATACACTGAAGAAACTGGGTTCGGTTCAGCATTCCATCGAGAATTCAGTATCTGCACGAAACGCGTCCGTACGTACATGCGTCTCGCCGTGCACGCGTCCGATCGAGGGCCTTTAAGGGCTATAATTTCAAAACCGTTCAACTCAACTTGCAGTGTATATTAACTTATTCCCCTAGTTGTATCTTTTGCTATTGACGACAATTTTCCTTTCCAGGCTACAACTTCGAAACTATGCCACTCACTTCCACAAAACTTTTTGTATACATTAGGTTAGTGCCCTAGTCATGTTTTTTTTATTGAGGACATTTTATCATTTATCTTTTTTTTTCTGTTACTATCAAATTTTTCGATTTATTGTGACTTCTTGTATTACTCCAGAGCTTATAGAGTGTTGCATAAATTTGTTCATGGACAATACCAAGCTCTATTCAAATCTTAACAATCAAACACAACTGATCGACATCAAAATATGCACTCTTACTATTAGTTTGATATCTATATCATATAATGTTGAAGCTGAGGCGATATAAGGAAATTTAATTGATAACTGACAAAAGAAGACTTTCCGGTGATAGTAGCAGTACATGATGACGTCACAAAGTGTTATCCACACACATATATATATCACAATTGGGATTTAACCAACAGCTGGGTGCAAGGTGGGGTGGGGGTGGGGGTGGGGGTGGGGGCAATGCCTTGTTTTGCGGTTCCTGGTAATTGAATAGTGTTCGGTATGGGTGCGTGTGACCTTCCACCTTGACTTTTCAATATACCAAGCGGTTGCAGTAAGTACGTCATTCCCATTTTGAGTATCCCAACAAATGGACTTAACTACCGACTCTACGGCAATCAAACGCTGCCATACGCATTAGAGAACGCATCCTGAATACGAATTCTATAGAGCGGCCGACAGCCCCAAGATACTACTGTAATGGGAATGCTGTTTGCTTGTTAAAGTACCTATTTTATTTATGTAAGGAATGATAAAAATAGTTACCCATACATATATTATACATATATTACGGCAAGTATTTATATTTATAATATATACATAACTATACATATATATGAAAACCTCCTGAAAGTTTGTGATATAATGTCATTTAAATTTCGCTATTTTTCTTTGCCTCCTTTAAGTGGTCAAGGTCATTTGACATTCTTCTTAAGTCTATTTACAATAGAGTACTTACCGGTGGCCATGTTTTAACAAGTAAAACCTGTTTCTGTTCGCAACCAATTTACATACCATATCGTATGACATAGCGATGCTATCCTTCAAACAGGTTAGTTTAGAGGCTAAAATTTTTACAGAAGAAATTTTTTGTCTTCCATGTAAAGGGATGAAATTCTCAACCTAATTGGGTACAGCTTCAACGCACTCTCAGTAACATGACAATGTTTAGTATTTTGAAAGCTACAGTCGATTTAGAGAGCGAATATAGCCAGTTATAGAAATGATAATGCAACGCTACGTTACAAACACATGAACACTATAATTTCTAAAACAAAAGCGAAGATGGTGATGATGCTAGAACTATATCTCGCAAAATCTGAAGTCTTCCACTATAAATAAGCTCGTGCTGTCATAACCCTGTTGTGTTCACATCTTATATAACAAAGTAAAATAACATAAGAAGTGTCCGTGTCTGGCTGCTGTGGTTCACGTGCTAGCATGCACGTACACATGCACACTCAGTCACAAATCTGAGAATGTCAATTATATAATTTATAGGAAAACAGGAAATTAAGGAATACATATTTAATGTCTTGTCACTAGATAACTAAGTAGGTATTTCTTAATCCAACAACTTCAGCTGAAATGTTATCAAGAATAATGATAACGGATGTTACAGACGGGGGACAACAGACTTACTGTCATATGAGTTAAGTCCGACGTAAGTCAGGTATGCATTGCATTGGGACGATGTGCAGGCCTCGAAAAATCCGGCAGTGTATTCGTATGGAGTGACACTAGCTACTCGTAGACGGTACCAGCCGGGGGTGCCAAACCCAACCACTCCTAGTGCCAGAATCACCAGTAGGATGCAAAACACACACCATTTCTGTATCGTTTGTGACATCTTGGATCAGTGCCCTAGCCGACCTGAGTATATCGTCACCCTCGGCCTTTGAGCGCTTACACACCTGCAATATGCAGCACCAATAAGTAAAACGGTTAAGAGCTCATTGTAAATTATATATTGACAATTTTCTTAATCAAACATGTCAAATAATGGGATAATATTAAGTAAACACATAATACACAGTAAAACTATATAGTAAATAATTGGGAAAATGTAAAATTAACATAATTATTAGAGATGTGCACGAGACACACTTGTTTGGTTTGTTGTCTCTTGTTGTTTGTTAGATCTCTCACCTCTTAGAAACGTGTTCTCTACATCACGAATTTACTTGATTAATCACGCGTAGAAGTTAATAACTGAAACTTAACTGAAACCGGATGGACAACTAACTGTCAAAGTGATCATATACGGAATTCAGTAATCATTTATTTTTTCACATGAAAAATTAAATGTTAAAGCTAAATTGCAAATATAATGCTAATGAGACACCAAAACAAACCTGATTTATAGAATATAAATCAAGGGTGTATTATCAAAGACAAGTGTGAACAGCACACAATGACCTGATGGATCGCTATGCAAACTTCTGTATCGTTACCCTAGCACTGGAGGTCAACTTAGTACCCAGAATTTACTGATTAACACAAACAAAACAAAGCATGTATCACGCCTAACGATTTCCAGTAATAAGAAACTTACCTGTCAAGTACGTGCCTGCTTACACCTACCCCAAACCCTCCGGCATGGGCACACCCTACTCGTACTGCTGCTACTACTGAGGTACACACGTGTGTGCCCTACCTATTATATTCACACCCGACTAACGAAACACTAGTTATTGTAGAAATAATGAGACCGTCGTGTACACGTACCTGTTTGAGAACCTCGCCTACCCACTGTGTAAATAAGTCGTCACTATTAGTCGATCATTGATAATCCAAAGTGAATATACCAAAACCTTCACGCCCCAGTGACTTTACTGAATGACGTCCTGGTCATAGCGGTGAGGACTCATTAAGACAAACACAACTGGTTTGGTGACTTTGTATTGGACCATCTTTTGTGTGGAGTTCAATTTTTGTATTCATTTCTTTTGAGTAATATAACTGGTTCGGCAAGGTCTATATTTAGACAAGAATGTGGTATTTCACTTTTGTACGTGCAAATTAACGCAAAAAATGTTCGAGTTACTCCCCTTCATTTGCACACTTGGCTGCTGGAAGATGTAAACATGTTATAGAAAAGAAATATCGTTTCAATGATAATTATGAAATATGCCTACTTTAGGAATATGTAAAGTACATTTGATCAGTCTGTATGATGCGACTATATGATGTCGCAAGGCATCGAGATGTAGTTACACGTTTGAACGGACCAGTGGCATCGCCGCATATATATATATACATTTAAAAAAAATTCTTTTACTTTTTTACGATAAGACATCCTCGATTCTCCAAGTGTTACGATCACTTTCGCTCTCTGCACCCCTGGAACATGTCATACCAAAATTGAAGGCACAAGCGAAGTAATTTGATTGGTTCCAGGAGACAAAAACTGACCAATCACAGACTGATATGCTCCTTTTGGAGATTAAAGTGGAGCGACACCCAACTTCAAAGTCATTACAATATAACGTTATGCGGTGCCGAGATTCGTTTGATATACATAAGAGGATCAAACCAGTCTTTTTCGTTTTGTCCACAAGGTGTTGCACACCGTACTTGCAATTCTGCCATGACATGTTGCAGGAGAGGATGACGGTTTCTTTTCTACCACAATAAGCGGATGCTATCCAAGTAACAACACTTGTCGACTTATATTGATTGGCTGAGACGGTGAACTTTGACCGGAATGGCTTAACACACTCGCGGAAAGTCAAACGTGCAATAAGTAGTTCTCGACTGTTTTGTATTACATGTATGTGAAAGTTACGATTTGTAATGAATTACGATATTTCTACAAATTCTGAAATGGTCAGTTTTGAATATTAATTAGCGGCATTTTACTACAAGCCATATAATTTTTTCTCCAAACAAAACACACCTGGGTATAGAAAAGGTTTATTCATTGTTGTAGATGCTAGGTAATATATATCTAAGGCTGGAACGTGGAATTACATTTGTATAACATCTGATATCACATCAACGATCCATTAACTACAAGCAAACAATTACATACATTGAAATAACACCCATAGGACATAAATGAAAAAGCAAAAAATTGATTATACAAATGTACACCCTCTTGATGGTGAAAAGGGTTACGAAAGCCTGTAGAGCCATTTTGTAAAACAAAACAAAATTATTTTTCTCGTTAGAAACCTCGTCGAAACGAGTTAGTAATACCATATCTCGTTTTAAAACCACAATTATCCATTTTTAACGAATTTGTTTTCTGACCAAAACTCCACGAAATGTAATAAAGTGGTGATGGAATCATGACAAAATGTAGGCCGCCGTGTGCCTTGGTAATGTCATACACCATTATTTGGATGCATATTGTGAACTCAAAACTATCACTCGAAAATAAATATATCAAAATCTCGGGCTAGATGGTTAGGGAGTAAATAATATAGTGAGGAAATTCTATATCCAGAACGGAAATTACAGAGGGGAATTAAAACATTTAACTTTCTTGGTATTAACTTTCATGTAGATTTACACATCATCCCTAGATTGAATTATGATAAAAAAAAAACTACGTTGTGTAGTTAAAATAAAGACACTTATCAATACTTGGTCTAGGAGGATCACTACAGCAATAGGCAGAATTCATATAATAAAATCATTGATTGTATTGCAATAAATCACCTATTTATTGCAATACCTAATCCAGATGAATATTTTCTTAGAAATCTTAACACAGAATTATTCAATTTCTTATGGAAAAGCAAGGTAGGTAAAACTAAAAGGGACATAGCAATAAAGAATTATATATGGTGGGTTGAAAATGATACATTTAAGGTCCTTTAACATGGATAAGAAGATTGTATATTACATCAGGTAAATGGCAGGGAATTTTAAAAACTTATATAAATATAGACATTTTTCAAAAACCTATTTTGGAAAGATGTATTTAATGCATGGAGCTAATTAGTCAAAGTAAGTGAAAATCAATCTAAGGGAGATAACTCCATTGCAACAATGCCAATATGGTACAACAAATCTTTCAAAATAAAAAAATAACAGTGTTTTCTATGGAAACTGGTTCAGGAAAGGAATAATCATAGTGAATGATCTTATGAGTATGAATAATACCAACTTATTTTATACTTTACAAGAATTCAGGCAATTTTTTAACATTGAATCAAACTTTCTTCAGTATCAAGGTCTGATTTCTGCTATTAAGAGACATCTGTCTCAGGTACAAGACAAGAATTAGAAAATGTAAGTTATCCGTTTATACCCAGCAATATACAAATATTTTTAAAACTCAGGAAAGGGGCAAAAGATTTTTATAGTTTACTTAGTAAAAATGATACTGTGTTAACAGGTAAAATGAGGTGGGAATATTTTGACTTTAATGATAATATCTGGAGAAATATTTATAAAATGCCTTTTCAAGTAAAAAAAAAAAAAAAAAAAAATACAAAATTACAGTGGTTCCAATACAGAATCAATTAGCACGTCTTAACGACTAACTTATATCTACATAGAGCTGGATTAGTAGATAATCCATATTGTTATTTTTGTAAGTCAGAAATAGAAACAGTTGAACATGCAATATGGGAATGCATTCAGGTGCAAAACCTGTTAACAAACTTTGAAACCTTGTTAGATTCATTATTTACCCCTTTTTATATTTGGTATACTTGAAGAAAATCGAATCCGATTCAATGTAGATAATCATATTATCCTTATAATGAAATATTATATTTACAAAACAAGATGCTTTCAAAAACCACTATCCTTAACTGGTCTTAAAGGCTCAATAAAAGAATCATATGAAATACAAAAATAGATATCAAATGGAAAAGATGATAAAGATAAACATAATTTTCAAAAAGACTGGGAAAATGGCAAAATATTTTAAATATCTCCTAAATTCTTATGCAGATGCTTATTGTCAACAGAAACATTATAATATCCCCCCCTCTCTCTCTCTCTGTCTCTCTGTGTCTGTCTGTCTCCCCCTCTCTCTCTGTGAGTGAGTGTATGAAAATTGAAAGGTCTCGTGTGAAAATGAATTATATATGATGTACATGTATCTATATAATGAACACTCATAAATCGGCAGAGATCCTTTGCCACTGAATATGTGAGAGAATGTTTGTGAATATGGTTGTGACTGTGGATGAATTGAGAATTGATGATTGTTGATTATGACGATGATGTGCATGATGATGAGATGATAGTTGCATGTGGTGGTGATGACGAAGATGTATATATTGATGATGATGATGATGATGATGATGGTTGTGTGTGGGGATGATGATGATGATGATGTGTATGATAAGGATGATGATGATGACGATGATGATAAATGTTCAAGTAGAAGTATTTATGCTTATTAGTGAAAGGTGAAAGTGAGTGCAAGGGAGTAAGATAATCACCAATTATTTTGTAATATATATGTCTTTGCATAAATGTTGTGAAAAAAAAGAGATGAAAAAAAAAAAAAAAAAATCAATTTTGTTGTAGATGGACTGAATACAATCTTTGACAGAAGGGAGCCATGGTTCTTTTGAAACAATGGGCCCAGGAGCTTAATAGGATAGGCCTTATACGGGATACTGAATAAATTCGTTAAAATCTTCCTTCTGTTGGAATGAATGTGTTTTGACAAAATATAGTCAGAGGCATCCTTGGAAAAGGGCGACGAATTTTGTTTTAAAAAAGATGTATCTAACATTTCTGGGGACAGGGGGTTGGGGCCAAATGACGTCCATCTATACAGTTGTGGTACCATACAACGCACTTCGTGCGCACACACGCACGATGAAGTACCGTGCGCACAACTGTGCGATAGGATGGCCCATCTTGTGCGGTTTGGTCAAAATGGTTGACCTATATTACGGATTGAAAATTAAACGGAAAATTCGTGAAGTTTTTACCAAACAGCGATCACACGAACATTGAAATTGATCCGTGGTTATAAAAGTCATTTTCAATTCGACAGTCTTCAAAATAACGCTGGACCTGCATTAATTAGTCTTATCGTATTAAGTTTCACACCTTAGAAAGTGGCGAGTAGTAGTGCCTCGGGCAACGAACGTGTACCTGTATTCGGGTATATACGTGACAGACGCGGATCAACGCAACACTGAAGATTTACCTGAGCACATATTTTTTGTTTGCAAAATGAATGAGAGAAAAAAAAAAACAAAAACAATGAAAAAAAATCCTTTTTGACTGTATGGCATTTTAAATGATTAATTTCTGTGACATAAAGAGACGTCTATCCGTACACTAAGGCTAGTCATGTGTGGCTCGTTGTAAACAAAACACTTAAAATTACGAGTGTATCTAACTATTCAGTGTGTATGTGATACATCTACAAGTGTCCAATCTATACATAAATTGCTTAATTAGGAAATATACTTAGGTGTATTCTTATAATTTCAGGAAATAAATAAACCCTATCACACACTTATTTATAAGTAATTTCTAAATTTATATCAACCACGATAGAATCGCACAATTGTGTGATAGAACCGCACAACATGCGCACAAATGTGCGATAGCTTATTACGTCCGATTTTCCTATCGTCCTCACATCTATATCAATTCAAACCATCCGGTTCTGTAGTTGCTACGACGTAGTGTCACTTCCCGGATATCCGCATTATCTTTTTCCTAAAATAAGCTAGAATATTTCAGCCATCTTCCGACAAGGTCATTACGATTATCTGCGAGTAGGTCAGGGCAGGAAGAATTTAATTGTTACTTAATCTAATTTTTATGATAGACTTCTGTAAACTTGTTAATTTGAATTGATATTGTAGAGTGATCCGAAACAAAATTCTCCAAGTTTATACGAGGTAAAGTGCTCACGATAACGAGACAACAACGCGTTATAACGTGATAACCACTAAAACAATACCGAGACAACAACGCGTTATAACGAGATAACCACTAAAACGATACCGAGACAACAACGCGTTATAACGAGATAACCACTGAAACGATACCGCGACAACAACGAGTTATAACGAGATAACCACAGAAACGATACCGAGACAACAACGCGTTATACCGAGACAACAACGCGTTATAACGAGATCACCACTGAAACAATAATAAGTAAAGTACGCGTTTAACCACAATAACATTTTTTCCCTTTTTAATTTAACCCTAATAGGCTTTCCTGCGTTCTCCGTGAGTCTTATCGGCCATATTAACATAATGTCATGTCGACTTTTATGTATCGGCATGTAGGCATCAAAACTCCTTACCTATAAACTATTGATTCGCTGAAGTTTCGACTTTTCGCCGAGTGCGAGAGAAAAAATCGCAAAGCTTGTTTGTTGTACATGATTACAAATCATAAAATAAAAAGGAAATGACGAATGTTTTGTTTTCATTTTTTAATGTATTCTGGAATTATTAAAGAAAATATATATAAAAAATGATAACACATTTTTTTTACATCTTAACATGCACATTTACAATATGTATATATATATATATATATATATATATATGCATATATGAGAAAATGAGTATATACTGTTAGTAATATAAAAATAGATTTCAATAGTTGATGATTCTGTAAATATTTTTTGATTATTATTCACTGTATCATTCAATATTCTTTTGACACTCGGGTAAAGTTATAATGTACGTAATATATACCTTCCATTGGATGTGTTACACACGGAACAGTTAACATATACTAATACACCCGGATACGTGGAAGTACAACATACAGGTGTAATGACACAGATGTTTTAAGTACCAACTTTGAATTGCAATGATACATCCGATGATTTCTTTAAAGTGTAAAAGTTTAAAACAACTTTGAAGAAATACCCGTTACAAATGATTACTATACTTAGCTACATATAAACGTACATGAAATCAGACATAGAAAAGTTAGGATACACCTGCTACCCGCTAGGGTAGATACCGCCGATACAAGGGCCGGTAAACCCGATATGTTGGTAGATACACCAAATGAAATGATAGATAACCGGATACATAGGTAGTTTCACTCAATACAGGGATTGAAAAACCCGATACAAGGAAAATTTCACCCAATACAGGGATAGATTACTGGAAACAAGGAAAGTTTCACCCACTACAGGGATAGATTACTGGAAACAAGGAAAGTTTCACCCACTACAGGGATAGATAACCGGATATTGAAAAAGTTTCACCCATTACAGGAATAGATAACCCTATAGAAGGGTAGATAACCCAATGACAGTCTAGATAACCCTATAGAAGTCTAGATAACCCAATACAGGGATAGATAACCCTATAGAAGGGCAGATAACCCAATACAAGGATAAATAACCATCCAGAAGGGCAGATAACCCAATACAGGGATAGATAACCCTATAGAAGGGCAGATAACCCAATACAGAGATAGATAACCCCATAGAAGGGCAGATAACTCAATAAAGAGGGAGATATGCGTTAGTCAGGAGTCGGTATACCCGATACAAGTGAAAATACACACGATACTTTAGTAGATACATCGAATACAGAAGCTATCGTCATAACATGGTAGATTACGGGACTTTGTGAAATCGTTGCGTATCTTCAAACCCCATTCATAGATCACAATAAAAATACATCCTTTCAACATACTGTGTAAATAATGATCATTTCTTATGAATCACTAGAGTGATGTCGAGATCTTCTTGACAAAATTGTCAGCTGAAATGTCTTCCAGCAAGAAAATTGTGTTCGGCATTATTAGCTCTCATTAATCTCTACCAAGACAAATTGACTGTCTAATAATCCCCGTATGTAAGGTATTTCTTCTTGTCAGGGTAAGCCGCTCGCCTGCTGCCGTACTCTACGTACTGTGGCTCATTCTTGTACGAGTACCTGTAGGAGTTGGGAGGTGCCACCACGTACGGCGGTGGCTCTGCGCGGGGCATCCTTGGAGGCTCTTGCATATATATAACAGGAGGAGCTCTTTTGCGAGGACGGCGTTCGTATTCCTCGTCTTCGTAATAATCATACATCCGTAGACGCACGAGGAAAATGATGACAGCAAGTACTACGGCGACAGCTCCGGCAGCGGCAACCAAAGCTAGCGAGTAATCCACCTTGTTAGTCACGGAATTAGTAATCCCATACAAGCCTCCCTGATTACGTATCTGGCTGATGTAGAACCAAATCACAGTCGTGATCAGCAAAAGACCTGTCAACAGATGTGATCAATAATGATTAGTCAAGGAAGATATATTCAATGATGATTTATTCAGTGATGACGTAATCAATGATGACGCAATCAATGACGTAATCAATGATGACGCAATCAATACGTAATAAATGATGATGAATTCAATGGGGTAGTCAATAATGATGTATGTGCAAGTGAAAGTTTGTCAGTGTTGTATTGGTTATAAATCCATTCAATTCAGATTCAGAATTATACACGTATAACTCATGTCAATACACGAATGATCGATGTATTTATAATTCAGGTTTATGCACGTATGATAGATCAATGCATGTATGATCCAGGTTTATGCACCTATGACAGATCGATGCATGTATAATCCATGTTTATACACGCACGTATGACAGATCGATGCATGTATAATCCATGTTTATACACGCACGTATGACAGACCGATGTATACATAATCCAGGTTTATGCACGTATGACAGGTCGATGTATACATAATCCAGGTTTATGCACATATGACAGTTTAATGCATGTATAATCCATGTTTATGTCCGAATGACAGATCGATGTATGATTAACTCGGGTTTATGCATGTGTAACGCTAGCCTTATGATATTTTTACGTGTTTAACATATACTTGCTTTGCTTCCGTAAATGTCAGGCTTGTTCCCAGTATCACAAAATAAGATAAGAACAACTGGTAGACTAACAACACTGGGTATCGGGAGATAGAGATTGACAAGTACTATGGTCGTCATGGTGATCTCATTGGATGTCATTAAGTAAGATGTGTTTGGCACTTGTTTATATACCTGGTAGTTTTGTTATGTTTAACCTTGTGAATTAAGTCGGGTTGGTCAAGATGTAAATTGTCCATGAATCAGTAAATTATTAAGTAAACCAGGTATTTTTCAACGATATCCGGGCAAATCTTTTCTTCATTTATATTTTGCACCTGTTTCATCAACTTACATCTCGGTTTTTAAACTTAATTCATATTTAAAATGACGGACTTTTAACGCGTGTACAACACATATTGACATGACATGACTCTTATTCACATATAATCGACTCTTGTGAGTACGGTGATTCATGTACTTTTTCTAAATGAACATAAACATACAAACATAATTGTTTGTTTCACGTCATTTACCTCCAATTAAGGTAAACCATGCTACATAGAGATAGCGCCTCCTGTCGGTCCGACATCCTCCACAGTCTCCCTGGAGTTCGTCACAGCGGCACACGGAACAGAAAGTAAAGAGAAGGGCGAGACCGATAAAGAAGATTCCGAAAGCACAGAAGACGATACAGCCAATTAGGTCGTCTGTAAAACAAAAGCAATGGACGTTTTTATTCATTAGATGCTTTAAATATACTAGATGTATCATTCCTACACAACACAATCAAGTTAAAATTTGGTGTTCAAATTATTTTAATTAGATAACATAAACTAACAATCTGGCGATGTTACTGTTCCAGCATCCATATTGAACTGTATTAATCGCCAACAACGGTCATTTATAAAGTAGAGATAAAAACAGAGTGGTAACTAGTCCTGTCTTTCCCATACATTAGCAGATAATGAAATATTTTCACTTTTATCTGCTCCAGTATCAGTGATGTATATTGTATCAGTGTGACAATTTGTTGAGTCTGTTTATTCCAGATTATTTCCACAGCTCCATGAAGAACTTTCAACTAATTCACTTTTATTTATCGTATTATACAAACTAGGAAGCAGACTAGAAACGATTACAAAAACCGAACGTGTTATAGTAAAGTGTAACTCTAGGTCCGTCACCGTATACAGTACTACAGTCAGTAGGAACTTCCATTTGAATGCTGTTTTTTACGAATGGGACGTTGAAACTAGAGATGACAATTCGTTCAGTATAAAATGACACACAACTAAAAAGTAATCTGACCTACATGGGTTAGAGAACAAATATGGGTATGAGTACAGTTGTGGGTAAGGGTATAAGAATGGGTAGGGGTATATCCATCATCATCATCATCATCATCCCTGTGGTCAGGGGTACAAATGTGAGTAGTAGTAAAAGTGTGGGTAGGAATACAGGTGTGGAATATGATACAAATGTAGATAAAACTGTGGGCAAGGGTACAAATGTAACCAAGGATACAAACTTGGATAGGGTTAAAGTTGAGGTTAAAGTGCAACTCCGTAAAATTGTACAACAGTGGACAGAGATACAAATGTGGGTAGGAGTACAACAGTGGACAGAGTTACAAATGTGGGTAGGAGTACAACATTGGACAGAGTTACAAATGTGGGTAAGAATACAACAGTGGACAGAAATACAAATGTGGTCAGGAGTACAACAATGGACAGAGTTACAAATGTTGGTAGGAATACAACAGTGGACAGAAATACAAATGTGGGTAGGAGTACAACAGTAGACAGGGTTACAAATGTGGGTAGGAGTACAACAGGAGACAGAAATACAAATGTGGGTAGGAATACAACAGGAGACAGAAATACAAATGTGGTCAGGAGTACAACAGTGGACAGAGATACAAATGTGGGTAGGAATACAACATTGGACAGAAATACAAATGTGGGTAGGAGTACAACAGTGGACAGAAATACAAATGTGGGTAGGAGTACAACAATGTTACAAATGTTGGTAGGAGTAAAACAGTAGACAAGGTTACAAATGTGGGTAGGAGTACAACAGTGGACAGAAATACAAATGTGGGTAGGAGTACAACAATGTTACAAATGTGAGTAGGAGAACAACATTGGACAGAGTTACAAATGTGGGTAGGAGTACAATAGTGGACAGAGATACAAATGTTGGTAGGAGTACAACATTGGACGGAGTTACAAATGTGGGTAGGAATACAAGAGTGGATAGAGGTACAAATGTGGGTAGGAGTACAACATTGGACAGAGATACAAATGTGGGTAGGAATACAAAAGTGGACACAGTTACAAATTTGGGTAGGAAGACAACGACTATCGATATGTAGGACCTATGTGTTACAACACAGTGTATTTAGGTTTCGTTAGCTGACTCTATTTTCGGAAAAAAAAAACTAATATCCGTCATGAAATGCACATCTAACCCACGGCTCCGCCATTGTAGAAGGAATGTTGGGACACAACGGTCGTGTTTCGGTTCAGTGACTCGGTCTATATAGAGGACTGCTTTCTATTCATATGATTGCCATGGTTACCGTGCTCGGGAGATTAGGTTCGATACGTTCGTGTCCATGAATGAAGTGTATGAAATTTTCCGGTTTATTGGTTATTGTTCAACTCGTCCTCTATCTTACGTCAAACAAACGATATCCATTGTATTAAACAAAGGTGAGAGTAATTGTGAGTGGACTTGTGATAACAATCCTCCATCGGTCAAAACCGGATCAACGAAACCATATCAGTAATGAATGAGCTTGTTAATTTGGTAATGTTTTGATATACTTAGTGACCCTACAACTACTACTCTACAGATATATACATTGAACAGATATCAAATGGTTGAGATCTGTCTCAGACACATAGACACGTAGAGCCGTCGGCGGTAAACTGGTTTTTACACATATTCTTAAATTATTGTGTAAGTCTGGTCAGTTGGGTAAACTCCCAACCGTCAGTCGCTTGTATTAAATAAACGACATCTCTATCCACAGTTTCAAACTATTCTTTGTCAACATTCTCCAACTATTGTTTACCATTACATTGTGTGTTGTTTTCTATGTTAACAGGTCCTTGAGGGTTATCGGCCTCACAATTGTTTAAACTTAATATGTTTTTTAAAAGTAAAATTCAAGATGGTTGACTGTCGGTCATGTAAATTTTTGTGGTCAGTACCGAAAATCAAAGAGCACAGCTAGGGATACAGGCAAACCTACATTTTGAAATTTGAGAAGGTACTTAGCAATAGCAGAGACATATATGTGGTATATATGTCTCTGGCAATAGCAAACGTTCTCTCACAAAATAACAGTCGACCGCCTGTAGGTCATTTTGCGTTTCTCGCCGGTCCCGAAATTACATTGGAATAACTAGGACATAAGGAAAACCTACATATGATTTTGAGAAAGATCCATTAAGTATTTATTATGAAATAGCAATAACAGACTTTCATTGCCAAAATCCAAGATGGCGGCCTGACAACAGTTTTTTTTTTCTAATCGTGGAGACCCATAATAAAAACAACACAAGCGACCAAGCGAAACACCTTTTGGGAATGATCCACCCAGCTGTAAACTCAAGAAAGAGCAAAAAAAATCAGATTTACGACAAGACAGTTGATGACCTGACCACGGACGAATGACGGCGATTGAATAATTCACCACAGGATAACTCAACATATGATGATGGTAAGTTCAAAATATAGGTCCTTGAGTGAAAAATTTATGCCGTCCTATATGGTGAACCAAGTTGAAGACACCTTTTCAACCATTGCACTGAAATTGCCGATCCCAAAGTGAGGTCAAAGCAGTCCTTTGTATATAAATTGACAAGTCGGTCTATGTTTACATCCACAACTGTTTCACTGAATGGGGTTACATTTAATGCTGCTTTACGTGGACTGTGTTAATTACATTCAAGACTGCAGTGCCCATTGAAATTTATTACATGAAATGCTGTTTTTTAAAGTTATAAGATTTGGATCTGCATTGTTATAAATTTGTGTTGGTAATTACACCAGGATCAGTGTTCTGTAAGGTATAAACTTTTGACACGCCCGAGTATCGTATTTACGTTTGGTCACGTGAAAACGTTTTATGTAGTTGTTGAGTTAAACAGTCGATGTGTCATACTAAGACATCGTGATGTACCCTGTACATACGATGTAAAACAATCTGCAAACGGTTCAAACCCTTTATAATGGGCACGCCTATTTCATATAAAGCCCTTCCTTCGGCTCGTCACGACCTACTTACTAGACGTATCTTATAAATCGGCTACTATAACAGATATCCGATACCTATATGAAACTTAGTACCGAATATGTACTCATCCAACACGACATGTTACTGGAGCTAAACGAAGGTTGTACTACTTTTCATTGTATTTAAATACTTACCATAGCTGACATTTTTTCACGGTTCATAAATCGATGTGCATGGCATTCTGTTGGAGAAGGTTTAGTAGCCAATAGAAAGGTGCCATATGAGAATTTGTTCTTCTTTTTCTCAAGATTTCCACAATAAAATCTAGTCCAAATTCCAATTAAGAAAAAGAATTTGCCACAATATTCTAAAAATATCTAAGTGATACAGATTTTTCACAGATGTATAAGAGACAGTGTTGTACTATACGTTGTACAAATGATATAGTAAGATATTGTACGGGTATTCACACTGCCTAATCAATCATATGGGTTCAACAGAGCGGGTATTTGAATGATTTAGTTTTAAGATGGATCAGTACAGTCACACATGTATTAAGCACTTTTAAAAGCATCATACACCTACACACATTTCAGCCCCGCGGCTTGGGCGATAAGTTTTCAAATTAAAGCCATTTCGCGTGTCTTCTCGACAACCTGATTACAACAAAAAATGTGTTAAAACAAATATGTTTTTTTCAGGCAACACAATATATCGCTTGAAAACAAAAGGCGTGTGTCAAAACACGGACTTAGATATGGCCGTTCATACATTACTCGATAGAAGTGCCATTGTTTAAATTCAAAATTACCTATATTATGATAACTTACCGCTGTATTTGGTCAAGGAAAAGTACTCGAGATATCTTCTACACGTGCTGGAAACGCATACGTCGAAAAATCCGGCAGTGATTGTCGGGGTGGTAGTGGAGTTTGTGGAGATCTTGTTCCAGCTAGGCGTGGCAAATCCTACTAGAGCCAGTACGAATGCCACCAAAAGGACAAGTAGCACGAACCATTTGGTCTCTTCCCGAGCCATGTTTCTCTGTCCGGTGCTGGATCGTCCACCCGAGTGTGCTAGCTTGTCCCGTAACCTCTTGCCTTCTCCCTTAACTATCAACAGAAAGTCATTCAACTCCGTCGGCGTCACGCTAGTCTGATCAGGCGAGTACGTAAATAAAAGGGCAGGGAGCTCTGTATGAACGGGGCTATAGTGGTAATTCTAACCGCATCAATACCATTCCATCAGAATGTCAACCAAGAAGGTGTACTACATACTTGTGACCAGTCAACTGGAACCTTTTTACCCTTTTCGTGACCTAGAGTTTTTATCGCGGTCGATTGGTTTAGAAAAAAATGCATCCACCTTGCACGTTTAGAGTCACGACTTAGATTATGTAGAAAGACCAAGAACTGAGTTGTTCTTAAAAAAGAAGGTTATTCAATGTTATACACACGTTACGACCAGACAACTGTTGACAATGAAATGTAATCACCACTCCCGTGTTCTGAACAAGCGATAAGTATTGTTAAACTCATTCTTCGCACTAACGAGTAAATAGAAAGGATTACTGGCTAATTAAAGTGTATACACATGTGACGAATCCGACTTGGGATTAACAGTAAGGCCCTGTGACATATATATTGACTCAATACCAACTGATACCTAATACGCCCCAATTGATACAAGGTGCAAGCTGTGTGATATAAAATTTATGATTAGACACGACTGAAGCATTAGCTGAATGGTTTATATGCAAATCCTAAGGTTGAACCTTTTTAAGTTAAGATAGCAATCGTTGAAATGTTATTACGTGTATTTCAATATATTGTCACACTGAAGAATTGTAATATCACGTGCCTTACGGTCTAATCGGTATGTAATATTAGTACTATTATACGCGCCCGAAGTGACCAACGAGCTGGCAAACCATTTCTTCGTGCGAAATGTTAACAACTTGTAACCGCGACTAGACCTGAATTGAATTTCACGAACGAACAGATTCAGCAATTTTGGACGCCCTCGAGGTTTGACCACTGCAAGTCGGCGAGTAAACACTAATATGTATAAAAGGCGGACTGGTCACTCAATATTGACCACTGCTAAAACCACGGACTGGTTTGAATTTGTTAGGCTCCAATCAACACTGCTTTCTTTTATACTTATGTTGAAAAAAAAATCGTTTACATCAACATTGCTATGCGAATTGTATGTGTACATTTGACGTGGCCACATGATACAAATCAATACGACAAACTAAACAAGTGTCTATATATACCTCCGACCTGATATACAAAGGACCAAAAATACAACATGTCTTATACAAACTGGTTTTATGATGTGACACGATACTTTGATAATGGTAACCTGCAATGGACAGTCCCGAACTAGAGAAATGTCCTGAACTAGAAAACAGTCCCGGACTATAAAACTTTTCTGAACTAGAGAACTGGCCTGAGATAGCTGTCCTGAGCTAGAGAAAAGTTTTGAACTAGAAAACTCCCCCGAACTAGATCACTGTCCTGACATATGCGTTGTTGGGATGTACTGTATATGTTGGTATACAATAGATATTTTGTGTGCGGTGATCTATTTGAAGAACACACCGATATCTTTACACCTTGTACACGCTTTCACCACACAACACACATATATACAATTACACACAGACCACTATACCAGGTGATCAGGTATCACGACCAAATAAAGAGGCACTGATTTGGTTTCAACGACGTTCTTACTATGTACATATCGAACCAGTCTAATTTTAGAATAAGCGTACTGACAATAGACGACAGGACGCTTGTTTACATTTGTTGTTCATCTATCTGATATAACATCCACAATTCTGGAAATCTCCTGGCAGTGATTTTACAGATAAGGTCACCGGAGTCCTGCAACTAGAATAAAAGACAAACATAAGAAACCTTTACATACGACATTGGATTGAATAGACCAGATATCACCGCTTCTGATCTATCGAGGGCCTGCAATGAGAATCGAGTTCAAATCCAGGTAATGTCATGCACTCAAACTAAAGACCGGAAGAACCACAGCAAAACCACACAGGAAACTAACAATCATACACAAAGGAAGGGGATATTTCTTCGTTACACGACAATGATAACCAACAGTTCACCGCAGTATTCCTAACAACCCGCGCAAACCACACATTTAGTCAACGTCTGCCATGGCCTTCACGGTGATGAGGAACTATCGTATGATGTGTCAGCTATGACCTTTCAGTATCAAGGAAGACGTATTATTTAAATCGTCACACTTATCACAGCGCTTAGTAGTAACACTGTCTCCCTGCCACTACAGAGCCAGGTAAGTGCTGCATCTCGGCGAATTCAACTTCAGGTGAAGAGATTGGGATGAGTGTGATATTGGCAGTCATTGCAACAAAAGCCTTTCGCAAAATCTTGCCATTGAACGCAACGCAGCAGAATATATCGTTATATATATATAAATACTCTACCCTTACAGTTTAGAATGGGTGTTAGTAGTAAATGTTTAAAGGTGATAAATTCATTATTTAGTTCTTCAAAATTGGCATGTCATTAATTTCATTTCTTTTAAAGTGTATACAGAGATACAATAAAATTGTGATCACCAGTTGATGCCACGAGAATGGTGTTTAAGGTAATTAAAACAATTGTACTCAGGCAACTTGCCGAGAAACTTTTCTATTTCATTTTATAGCTCGTTAATACCTAAATATCATGCCGAAATACTTACTCTTCTGGAACACCTGGTCTCATTGCTTAGGTCTAAATATCAACATTTTCAATCTAAATTAGTTTTTTCCCCAGATTGATTTTGTTACTGTTGATTCTTTATCTTAAGTGATAAAATGGAAGCAACATTTTAGTTTCACAAGTAAAAAGAACTGTATGAATAAATAAGGTTCATTTTGCACTAAAGAATTGATTTTACAATGTTACATATTGAAATTGTACAGTCGAGCGTGGGTTTGATATCATACTTAGTCGAGCGTGGGTTTGATATCGTGCAAAGTCAAGCATATGTTAGACATCGTACAGAATCGAGCGTGGGTTTAATATCGTATAGAGTCGAGCATGGGTTCAATATCGTGCAGAGTCGAGCATGGGTTTGATATCGAAAAGAGTCATGCGTGGGTTTGATATCGAAAAGAGTCATGCGTGGGTTTGATATCGGCATCAAGTAATGTTTATTTTATTTTTTCAGCTTAGAATGAAGCTGGTAATTCATTACAGACGATGGACATGTATATGCCAAACTCTGTGTGTGAGTTCTAACAAGTTTAGGTACACATATCTTAGAAAGTTAGAATAAATATCACTTAGTGATCGGTTCATGTTACAAGGCAGTCTTTTCATCTTACAGTTATGTTTAATAAATTCATTCTAGTGTAACTAACGACGAGACGTTTTCGTGATATCCCAGGTTATATCATGACAATGGATAGGACAGCCCCGTTTGTAACTCAGTGTTAAATAACAGAAATGTGTGTCCGGAGAATGTTGTTTGTTAGTATGTAATGTTATTCCGATCCCGAACACACGTCGAGAATCAACATTATATTCACTGTAAACGAAATATTGTTGTTGCTGCTTTAAAAATAAAGTGATCTCTATGGCACGTGATGTTGCACAATTAAGGAGTGTGGTGTTATCACATTATACTTATCCCTCTTATAGTTGTATAAATGGATGAGTATATCATGATAAGGAGCCAATGGAAATAGAGCGAACAAATAAAGACTATTGACTAAAACTTCAACCTGTCGGAATCATTATTCAACTCTTTGATTCTCGATCAATATAATGCATCACAACACAGATGCATGCTTATTTCACGAAAATATACATTTCTAGCATCTAAAAAGTAAAATTGACCGTTCCACTCATGCTAATTTTAGTATGAATAAACGGACATATATTATCCAGATATTGGAAAAGTTGTTTGTAGACATTTGTCACTAAGGACCTTCTTATCATGTATCATAAAACCGATGTTATCGTTTATGAAGATTAAAAGCAGAGACTTTACGTATGTGGTATAGACTGTTAGTAAACATATTTTGAAATTTTAACGATTCAAAAGAACATATGTATCCTTGCTATACAAAGACAGCTCGCCAAAACTTTTCCTAGTCACAACCGAGCACATTTGCAACATTCATGGACTAGTAATGTAGGTGTACACACGTTTGATCATTATGCGAAATATGTGAGCGGATATTGATGTTGGCCTCGTTGTATGATCATTTACCATCCTCTGACGTTTTAAATATCAATAAGAAATATGAAAAGTTTATAGTGACTAGATACGGAATAAATAACACATGAACATTTTCCACGATAATGGTATCGACTGGTGTTGTATTATCTCATGCGATTCCAAGACCACAGGACACATTTTTGGGGTTTGTAAGATTTTATATATTATACATGTTCACGTAATACATTTATCTCAACCATCTTGTATGCTCTTACTCAACGAACAATCGAGACAAAAATATATGGAGGTGTAGATTATCATCATAAACACAACATACAATGGAGACATGACCGGATAAGGAGCAAAGGATCGTGTAGTTTTCATTTTCATGACTACAATTCTTACACATATTGTGAAGTAAGTGATTACCTGTGTTGGTTAATTGATTACTGTCTTTCATTATGAGGCAAGCCTTAAAACAATAATGAGGAATGAATGCCCTCACCGGAGTTGCACTAACATTGACCGTGCACACTGTACTCCTAAATATCTGATCATAGCATTACAACATAACACACACACATATATATATAGATAACGAGGTATCTGTAAAACGCCATCGTATCCAAGAGGCAATAGTTTGGTAATAATGTTACCTAAGGACAAATGATTGAACCAGTAATTGTCATTGCACTGTTGTCACAAGTTGGTTGGTCCGGCTGTGACCCGTTGTAATAAATCCCGTTCAAAGTCCCGGGTGTTTGTATTTTCACCATAATTCTAAACGAGTTCCAGGATGGTTGCAAGAACCAGTCGATTTTTAAGTCTGATTGTTTATTGAAAAAATACGAACAGATGCTAATACGTCACAAAATATATTGATTGTAAGCAATCTCTGAAAATCTCGTGACTATTTGTGTATATTTTAGGAATGCATATATACATGTAACGAAATCAAGCAGCTTCGGTGCCTTTGCAAACTGTATATCAGATATCTTTACACGTGGGTTTCATGTCCTATAGTTGCAATCTCTATAGATATAAACATACGATTGTTGTCAACGTTGCGCGTGGTACTAGTAGCGGTTTCCGCGGTCCCCATTGTAGAACCGATAGCTGTCTTGTTGGGTGTCCTTCCGGTCCGATTCGTAACGCCAGAAGTCGTTATCGTTTTTGAAAGTATACCTAAATACCTGAGGAGCCTGGTTGCCATACTTCTGTCTGTACTCCTGAGGTGCCGCACTTATTGGCTGGTCTGGTAGTCGGATTGGATCGGGCATAATGTAAGAAGATCCCATTTTAAGTTGAGGGCGAGGAGCAGGTGGCGGAGGAGGTGGCTGATAGCGACGTGCTGGTTCAGGGGAGCGCCTCACAGGTTTCTTCGGATAATCATCGTAATATTCGTCATCGTCGTCATACATCATATATCGGTATAAAAACAGGAGGAAGGCAACGACAATAGCGACCCCACCACTTACAGAGGCAAGGATGAGTGAGTACTCGGCCCTTGTTGAAGACACCAAGTACCGAAAGGTGTTGATAGCATTATGGTGCTGGATAGTGTTGACGGCGAACCAAATGACGGTAACTAGTTCGCTGAAACCTGTAACATAATACAATAATATTGTACTAAAGCATATCTAATAAACCCATCTATTTATAGTACACTGACTTTGCTTAATCCTAGATCATGATGTAATATATCATACTGTATGATATCAGTCCATCTATTTATAGTTTGACTATACTGTTTATTTTTTTCGTAGAGACATTCAAAGATCAAGCCATGTCCTTTGATACATAACCTAATAATTATGATATTGTTTCATGTGTCCGACTTCTGTCCCTTTGAGTGGGCTGTTTGTCAGTTGGCGATAATTCTACAAAACAGGATGCTATACAAGTCCTTATTTTTTACAGTTTTTAGATAAAATGAATTCAGCGTTTGTCACGCCATATATTCAAACAAAGTTTATACTTGACACATGTAGGTATTCAGCATTGGATTCCAGACCTTCTCAATTCAGCGTTAGGATAAATACGGCAGAACAATATATAGTCCTTTATTTCTAGTAAATATATTAATATATGCCTGGAATTTGTGTAAATCCTCTATTGATTAATATATACAGGTAATAATAATATATATTATCTTGATTACATTGACGTAATGTCTTGCCATTGCAGCTTGGTTGACAGTGACATTTTTGGTATTAATATATCACGCATATTACTTTTATCAAAGAGTATTTTAGGCTTTTGTTTGTTTTGTTTTCTCCGAACTTTATTTCCATTTATAAGTAAAAATTATCTACCTTCGTCAAATATAAATACTGGAAAGTGTAAAACTAGCCGCAATTTACAAAGGAAAGAGACATTTAAATGTTTCGTTGAATCAAATTTAGAAATTGAAATACGACTTCTTGTTTTCGCAGTTGGTTGCTTGTTTTAGTTGAATTGTCTGGCATTTTGATTTACAAATCATTGTAAGACCTGGAACCAGGTTACAGTTTAATTTATGACACAACAGACGACGAAATTTCAAAAACATTCAAAGTGCAATAACTGGAATACTGAATTGTTAAAGCTTGTCACTGGAACATTCTCCTCTCTCAAGGAGAACACAATCTTCTATCGACGTAGGAATACAATATAATATGTTTTATGTATATATAGAAATGGTTAAGAGGTAGTGAATACATTTTCGCGTCCTGATGAACCTACCTCCGATTAAAGTGAAAACTGCGCATGCCATGATCTTTTGTTTATCGGTGCCACATCCGTTTCGACAACAGTCGCGTAGGACATCCACACAAACAGACGAAAAGCAGAAGAACAGCGCAAATGTGAAACTGAGAATCGCCAACAGCATGAACAGGATACAGCCAACCATCTCTCCTAGAAAACGACAAAAGCTGATCGATGTAACGAGATTGCGAAAGTAAATTATACTTTCTTTTATTCTTTAAACATAATTGCACACGATGAATCCTTTACTAATAAGTGGTGTAACTCATCGATGCCTTTAGGTAAAACAGCAAAACAGAATCATTTTATGACCATCATCAACACAAAAATAAAATTGATACAAGGACAGAGGTACAGGAACCATGGTGTGAAAATGACACTCTCCGACAGAGCACAGACTCCTCACTCTTGGTGGAGTCTTATTGTACATTGCAAATTAAATATCTTCTTTGGATAAGTGGAATACAAATGTTTGCCGCATAATCACTTACATATATTGAAACAACGCCTTTAGTTGTTTATTTTCAATTTCAACCTTCCTCTAAAAGAGTTTTAATTGCAAAAGAATAGTGTAACATCATATTATTATGTTTAAGGTAAAACAATTTCAGCTGGATGAAATAGAGTTGAGAGGGGAGCGATACGAGTTGCATGAAGTCGAGATAAAGGAGAACATCAATTCCACAGAAGGATTATGGGTTTCGTCGCTTCGATATTGTAATGTTGTGTATATGATGAATGTTGAGCATTCTTTTCATACAAACCAAGTTTATCAGAGTCACTTTCTCAGTGGGATATGTAGAACAATGTAGAATTACGTATTGAATGATAGGGTTTATAGAATTCTTTCAGATCACTTTAAGCCGACCATTTACATGTGTATCAATACTTTAATCTCGATTATTTCCATGATATAGCCAGGTAATACCATACACGTAAACGACTGTATCGTGTTGAAATCACTCGACTCTGACAAATCTTGTAGGTGTTGTCAGTATTACATTTATACGTGTATATATAAGCCCAGCACCAGACTATGTATAAGAAGCTGAGACCCTATGTCGGTGAGAAAAGATGTGGCTGGGTCCAGGAATGCAGTGTTGCCCTACCTAAATGTCATTTACACGGATGACTTCACAAAAAACCTGACCTAGATCCTAGTTTTATTGTTCTCCTTTTTCAGTCAATATGTCTTCCCAAATCAATTCCATTTCAAAGACATAGTCACCTTTTATCCTGTTTGATGGTTTGTGTTAAAGGATATTCATTCTACGTTCGTCTTAATCTTAAATTTAACTCCACAATTACAGGTGTGTTGATTTATTACAAACATTATACACCTAGATACGGTTCACCATGTTCGGGTATTTCCTTCCATAAGATATAGAAAGGACGGGTGTTTCCTTTTAACACGTCGATACAATCACAGATTGCTTTTAAGGTGTTACACATTCAGACTGATTATTGCTTATACAAGATTTTGAGAGGAAATAATTAGATAAAAATAGTGTTGACGATAATGTTTCTATCGGGATAGCATTAAGGGATGTATACATAAACATACTACACACATGAAATAGACACACTATCCCTTGGCCAAAGAATCAACTTACCGCTGTATCTTTCCAGTTGAAAGAAGCTCAGATATGTCGCACAGGTGCTAGATCGGCAGACATCGAAAAAGCCAAACGTAAAGGCGACATTGTTGCCAGTTAACGAAATATAGGCCCAATTAGGTGTTGCGAAGGCGACAATGGCTAAGACTAGCACCGCCAGTAGTACTAATAGCAGGACCCATGGACACGGACCGTGCGCCATTGTGAAGCCCCCACGTTCTCGTTCACTCCGATATGGACGTTCAGAGTATTGCTCCCTCATAGTTTGTGTGTCATTCCCGGCTTATTGTCCAGTAATGACGTCACTTATCCTTATCTCCTTTCTACCACTGTTTCTAGTTTGTCCAGGTAGTTATTTCTACCGTCCTACCCAAGCTTTATCCCTGTCTACTCAGGTATATACGCCCTATGTCTAATCACCAGCAATAACAACCAACATAATGAATACATGCTCATCGAAGCATTGCAAAATATAAAAAAAAGAATACCTGAACGTGTATATATTGTAAATGCTTGGCGTGTGTTAGAATACTTCGTCAAAAACCAGTTTCAGTTAACTTCATTGATGTAATACCTATTTGCTTTGTCACGTGACGCCCATTTAACGTACGTTCACCAAAAAGGCGTGGCAGATGATGCCGTTTTACAGAGAACCCGCACTCTAGACATTGAGCTTTATAATTATTGCGAAGTCATTGCTTTTATATGCACAAGGAATACATGTTTTAGTATAAAAGAAATCAAACGTATTTATCTATGAAAAAGCATCCTACCGTTATGTTTATAGTTACTGAATTTTCGTGACGATTGCTATCCATAATCAGAGGTAGCCTATGGTAACACATCAGCATCATATAGATATTTCTGACAGATTCGCGTTTTGATTGGCTGGTATTTTAAACCTTTGTGGGAAAATTTAGATTTCTTTTAGTAAGGATTAATACTGTTATTGTGACGTAAATGTGAACTGATAATTTCTTTATGACTGAGAAGAATGACAGGATCACTGTGGTATTTGGTTGCGTATTTATCTATTAAAGGGTAAAACGGTAACTGATGCTTGCACTGAATGATTTGAGAAGGTAGAATCAGAATGCCGGAAAATAACACGTTGGTACGTTGACACTAGGGGACGAACCCTTACCTGGTGTGTATACCATACGTTTGATTTCTCTCTGGTGTTTTCAATACAACAGATCAACATGATTTAATGATTCTGCGTTAAGTCACAAGATGATCTAAATTGTCACTATCTAGATATAGTAGATAATGATAACAGAAGCTGGGCGGTGTTCTATTGTTGTTTCGGTAGTCATTTCTGGTAAGGCGGTAAGCCAAGGGATACAAATCTATACATACAGGTCACACTCATTTTGTCTTTTTTTTTTAGTTGGAATTCTATTTATTAGAAGACATGGAAGAAATGTGATATCTTGACCAAGACGACAAAAAGTAAAATTTTCATTACCACGCATAGACTTAAAAAAGTAGGCTTACATTGTAACAATAGACAATAATTGGTGAAACACAATAAGTCTGTTTAACTTTGAGGTCACGTGCGAAACAGGTCATATAGAGACCATGGTCACAGAGGTCACATAGAATCTATGGTCACATGTGAAACATAGTAACCATGGTCACTTGTTTACCAGGTCACATAGAAACCATGGTCAACCAGGTCACATAGAAACCATGGTCACGTGTGTATCAAGGAAAAAATATGAAATAATAGTCAAGTGTGAAACATGTCACATAGAAACCATGGTTATTTGTATACCAGGTCACAAAGATAATGGTCATACATGTCACACAGAATCTATGGTTACTTGTATAGCTTGTCACAAAGACAATGGTCATACATGTCACATAGAATCCATGGTTACTTGTATAGCTTGTCACAAAGACAATGATCACACATGTCACATAGTAACCATGGTCACTTATATACCAGGTCACAAAGACAATGGTCACACATGTCACATAGAAACCATGGTTACTTGTATACCAGGTCACAAAGACAATGGTCACACATGTCACATAGAAACCATGGTTACTTGTATAGCATGTTACAAAAACAATGGTCACACATGTCACATAGAAACCATGGTTACTTGTATAGCATGTTACAAAAACAATGGTCACACATGTCACATAGAAACCATGGTTCCATACTTTAAATAATCAGTTTCTTAGTGTACCTGACCTGAGAGACTCCAAGTTAAAGAGCATCCGACTTAAGATAGTCATTGTCAAATGTCAATGTGTATCAGACCTGAAAGAGTCAATGTCCAAGTGTACCCGACTTTAAATAGTGAATGTCCAAGTGTACTTGACTTCAGGGAGTCAATGTCCAAGTGTACTTGACTTTAGGGAGTCAATGTCCAAGTGTACGTGACTTCAGGGAGTCAATGTCCAAGCATACTTGACTTCAGGGAATCAATATCCAAGTGTATCCGACTTCAGGGAGTCAATATTAAAATGTGCATGACTTTAAAAAGTCAATATCCACGTGTACCTGGCTTTTTTTTCAAAGCAAACCACGATTAGTCCGATACTGTATAATTTACAATGAATCATAGGATCAAAGAACCGAATCCCCAAAATGTGTTCTTCATAGTTACATAAACATCCTCGATTAACAATATATCAATCAAAAACAACTATAACGTAATTAGCTATACTTGAAATATAATATCAACCAAAAGTGCGGAGCATAAATAAAGAAATGTCTACCAGGAAGCGAATCTTAAAAGGCGTCTGAAGGGCCAGAGTATTAACAATCAGTGGACGAGAGCTTAATGGAAATATACACTAGTTTGATCTCGTCAGTGGTGCTAGAGGCCTAGGTTTGACGTATAGGAAATGAAATAGGAGCAAAAATGACCAAAATAAATGTTAGATCGGAAAGTGCATTAACAAAACATGCTTCATAATTTCCAATGTTTGATGATTTCAAAAAATGTTGTACATGTTTATTTTCTGAATCATGTCACTATTCCTATCTAAACGTGATATGTGAGGTTATAGCAAAGCCCGTGGACACGAAGTCCACAAGGGGAGTTTAACAGCTGCAATCAATTACAGAATTATACATTGTATTACCACTTAAACCATATACGTCACATATACATATCTGTAACTGTTTAATTCTTGACTAAATCGCCGTGAATTATTTACTATTGGAAATACATCGCAAAGTAGACAAGGGGAATAGAATAATTACTATGAAGATAATCATAGGAAGCAGACACGACAATGTCATTATACACGGCTGTATTTATAATAAATGTTCCATCATCATATTTCAGATCCCGGTATTGACATAAGAGTGCCATCATCAGTATGTAGTATTGTTCAGAAATTACTTTAATCAGAATAAAACAATGACATGTAGGGTGTAGATAATGTCTATTAATTCTTTAACTCGTCGTATGGTGAAGCTAAACACAGTACTAAGAATATACAACAAATCAAAAGAATCTTGAAACTCCAACAAGGAAACAGGGTCATCGTATCTATTATGCACTGTCTATTACACTTCCCTGTGCAACGAGAAACCTACACCGATGTGCTGTATATCTGTCTTAAGAACACATAATATGAAAGTTCAAGAGGACACAATTTAATCTGCCCGTCCATGTGTAAGGATATGTGCTGAACATCCCCATTACAACAGTCAACCTGAATCCAGTGTTACAACTTCAGTTGTATAACAATAGTGTTCTGGCTGTAGGACTTGTGATTCTTCTCTATGACTTGTGGAACGTCACAACAGTATTATACCAAATCTATTCACGAAATTGGCATAGAAGCTCAAAGGGGTCATTGAAAATGTGGCGTAGATCTATGTCCTTCCGTGCGTATTGTCATAATCTCCGATGACGCGGAATTTATTGAAACTTGAAAGCCGAGGTAAGGTGTTATATGATCGCTAACTTAATAGAATATTACCTCATTATCAATAAAACGTCTACAGTGTTTTAAGTTATTCTGAATGGAGTTCTTCCCAACGTTTCTGCTTCAATGGCTTCCATGATTATTTCACCACTAATGTTTTAATTTTGATATAGCACATTGGCACAGCGACAAAAGCAACATATAAACAGGGCCCCAATCTAACTCAAGATAATTTGTATAGTTCGAAATGAAAACCGATCATCAAAACCCAAAAAAATGTTCAATTTATAAGATATGTTGTAGGTATATCTAGTGACGACCCATTTTTGGTGATTTACAAAAACGATTACGTTTCCTTTCCGCAAACATTATATTATGGAAACCATTATTACTGGTTTTTTTCGAGTGATGAGATTTTGGTTTATCATGTTTTATTGGTATGATTCAGTTTTCTTCTTTATGTCGAGTCTCATGATAACATTTTTCGCTTTTAAAGGCTTCAGACTGTAACAAATTTCATAAGATTAGAGAAACGCCACGACGTTATAACCAGAACACAAAGCCAAACTGAAGCGAAGACTTCCACAAATTTCCAGCTTCACAAAGCACATGTAGCTAAATAATAATAAAAAAATAGTTTTGTACCATATTGGTGTTCACGATACCAAACCATACTAAACAGTCATTTGGGTTTGATGTCACAGTACCAGTGTATTTTGATTTGATTTTGGTGTCAGGGTACCAATATATTTTGATTTGGGTTTGTTGTCACAGTACCAATATATTTTGATTTGGGTTTATTGTCATGGCACCAAGATATTTTGATTTGGGTTTGTTGTCATGGTACCAATATTTGTTCATTTGGGTTTGTTGTCATGGTACCAATATATTTTGATTTGGGTTAGTTGTCATGGTACCAATATTTGTTCATTTGGGTTTGTTGTCCAATATATTTTGATTTGGGTTTATTGTCATGGTACCAATATATTTTTATTTAAGTTTGTTGTCATGGTACCAATATATTTTGATTTGGGTTAGTTGTCATGGTACCAATATTTGTTCATTTGGGTTTGTTGTCATGGTACCAATATATTTTGATTTGGGTTTGTTGTCACAGTACCAATATATTTTGATTTGGGTTTATTGTCATGGCACCAAGATATTTTGATTTGGGTTAGTTGTCATGGTACCAATATATTTTGATTTGGGTTTGTTGTCATGGTACCAATATATTTTGATTTGGGTTTATTGTCATGGTACCAATATATTTTTATTTAAGTTTGTTGTCATGGTACCAATATATTTTGATTTGGGTTTGTTGTCATGGTACCAATATATTTTGATTTGGGTTAGTTGTCATGGTACCAATATTTGTTCATTTGGGTTTGTTGTCATGGTACCAATATATTTTGATTTGGGTTTGTTGTCATGGTACCAATATATTTTGATTTGGGTTTGTTGTCATGGTACCAATATATTTTGATTTGGGTTTGTTGTCATGGTACCAATATATTTTGATTTGGGTTAGTTGTCATGGTACCAATATTTGTTCATTTGGGTTTGTTGTCATGGTACCAATATATTTTGATTTGGGTTAGTTGTCATGGTACCAATATTTGTTCATTTGGGTTTGTTGTCATGGTACCAATATATTTTGATTTGGGTTTATTGTCATGGTACCAATATATTTTGATTTGGGTTTGTTGTCATGGTACCAATATATTTTGATTTGGGTTTGTTGTCATGGTACCAATATATTTTGATTTGGGTTAGTTGTCATGGTACCAATATTTGTTCATTTGGGTTTGTTGTCATGGTACCAATATATTTTGATTTGGGTTTGTTGTCACAGTATATATTTTGATTTGGGTTTGTTGTCATTTACCAATATATTTTGATTTGGGTTTGTTGTTGTCATATATTTTGATTTGGGTTTGTTGTCACCAATATATTTTGATTTGGGTTTGTTGTCATGGTACCAATATATTTTGATTTGGGTTTGTTGTCATGGTACCAATATATTTTGATTTGGGTTTGTTGTCATGGTACCAATATATTTTGATTTGGGTTTGTTGTCATGGTACCAATATATTTTGATTTGGGTTAGTTGTCATGGTACCAATATTTGTTCATTTGGGTTTGTTGTCATGGTACCAATATATTTTGATTTGGGTTTATTGTCATGGCATCAATATATTTTGATTTGAGTTTATTGCCGTGGTACCAATATATTCTTATTTGAGTTTGTTGTCATGGTACCAGTACTTGTTAATTTAAATTTTGTTGTCTTGGTGTAAGTACTTGTTGTACCGTGAAAGTCATTCTATTGATTCTGAATTATAAGTACGTTTCTTTATGGCTGTATTATCTTGTTTTGAGCTATGCGATCTATTGAGGATCATTTTGATAAAGTAGTGTTGGAGTACACGTTTCTTTAAATCGAGAATCATCAGTCATGTTTCCTCGATTTAGTATGAAATAGAATTCATAGGAAATCCTATATACATGTAGTTATGTTGATTTCAGGTTTTCCGTATTAATGTAAGGGCGATAATCCTCTTTGCTTGGAACCAACTCTCATATCCAATAAAATAATGTCGAAAAAAATTGGATTTTACATTTCATTGCCATTACAGTGGTGATCGTATACATATATATTCTATCGATCACCAACTAATGTACATGTATATATTATATCATTACACAACTTGGTTTCTGCGACCATGAATAAGATATTTTACAACATTTCTATTTTCAGATTGAATTACAATATAAGTCCACATGTGTGCTTTTACACAAAATGATTGTAAAAGATATGGTCTTGATAATTAGATGTGGGGTATACCTAGGTTCTACGGCGGTTTGTAACCGTAGTTTACAATGTATTTCAGCACACCATAAAGCAAGTTTACATATGAATTACATAACACTAGTATGATACATCACACAAGATGAAGCTGAGGACTACAGAGTCAATAGAGAGAGGAAGGAATTAAGACCATCTCAAACAAACACAGTAACACACTGAATGTATAATTTCTTTCCGTCTAAGCTTCCGAAGCGGAGAGAAATAGTCCACTGTTACGGTTCCTATGAGTCCTTGATCAACCAGAGTAATCTGGTGAATTCTAGCTGAGTAGTCGATGACAGTTTCCTACAATTTGAGTTAACTCAGTTTACTACAGTTAACACAGTTTACTTAAGTGAATACATTTTACTACAGTTAATACAGTTTACTTGAGTTAACACAGTTTACCTAAGTTAACTCAGTTTACCACAGTAAACACAGCTTACTTGAGTTAATTCAGTTTACTACAGTTAACACAGTTAACTTGAGTTAACACACGTTACTTGAGTTAACTCAGTTAACTACAGTTAATACAGTTTACTTGAGTTAACACAGTTTACCTAAGTTAATCAGTTTACCACAGTAAACACAGCTTACTTGAGTTAACTCAGTTAACTACAGTTAACACAGTTTACTTGACTTAACACAGTTTACCACAGTTAATACAGCTTACTTGAGTTAATTCAATTTACTACAGTTAACACAGTTTACTTAAGTTAACACAGTTTACCACAGTTAATACAGCTTACTTTAGTTAACACAGTTTACTACAGTTAATACAGCTGACTTGAGTTAACACAGTTTACCTAAGTTAATCAGTTTACCACAGTAAACACAGCTTACTTGAGTTAACTCAGTTAACTACAGTTAACACAGTTTACTTGACTTAACACAGTTTACCACAGTTAATACAGCTTACTTGAGTTAATTCAATTTACTACAGTTAACACAGTTTACTTAAGTTAACACAGTTTACCACAGTTAATACAGCTTACTTTAATTAACACAGTTTACTACAGTTAACATATTTGACTACAATTTACACATTTATGCAGTTTTCTAATATCAGTATATATATACTTTGGTGAAAGTTAGTTATAACGAGTACAGTAATGATATATTTGAAAGAATTTCTGATAAATCGAGTGTTACTTTTGTCTCTGACACCATCGCAAGAAATCATTTGAGATTAATTTTTCGGTCGTATTTACGTATAAGGAACAATGGTAGTTGACGGAATTTCCTTCTATACGACAGGAGTCTAAATGACATAAAATTTCCCTAGTGGAGAACAACATAAGACCTTTGCAAGGTTCCATAAGACTATATAGCTACGTCATTAGTCATGTTTAGGTCAGCGCATTACCAAAGGATGCACCAGTACAAAATGTCATCAGGTTTATTTAGGTTTCTCGACTGACAAAGATCACATGATACATAAAGTATCCAAACAATTACATCAAGTCAGGCATTAAATCATGCTGCCAATGATACAAGGGAAAACCTGGACATTATATATCACCGGGATTACGTAATGGCCAGTAGAATACTTTTAGACACTGAGTAGTCACACTATATAGACGTAGAGATCACGGATATAGTCTCAGTATACAGTGGATCGGGAAATGTGTTACATCAGATCAATTTGTAATTACTTGTAGTTTGACTTCAGTTTGTGATCTCTTAATTAAACGAATATCTTATCCATGCTTCTTACAATATGTATATATAGTATTTTCTGCTTATAGTTATCACCATTAAGTTTGCTTATAGTGACGCGGCACCAAACAATGTCCATTAACGACTGGATTTATTCTGTCTGTAGAGAGTACTCTCACGAAACGAAAGTTCTAGACATCAACATTGCCATTGACAATATGACTTCAGCTGCAACGCTTTAACCGTACTTATAAATGTATTTCTTGAACGTTCTTCTTTCTAACAAGTAACCAACATGTATGATATTTACAATAGGTCTCTGAATTTGAAGCAGATAATATGTTCTATAGGCGGAAGTATTCTATATGAATACAATGAACTCAAATTTCACCTATTCGGGATGTTTTTATTACATCCGGAACATTTTTAATACCGGCGTTCTACATATGTTGCTCTGCTGGCATAAGGTGGCTCCTCGGCAGTGGTGTACCTGTAAGTCTTGGGAGAGGCTGCATAGGATGGAGATGGAGGTCGGACAGATGCTGCAATACGAACGGGAGCGGGTCTTTCCATTGTGTATTTAGGTCTTGGTTGTTCCACTCTGTAGGTAATTGGAGGTGGTGAAACAGTTCTGGAATAAACAGGCTTCTCATAGGCCATCCTACGAACAGGTTCTGGGGACGGAGGTCGGTAAACAGGTTCTAGCGCCATTTTTGGGCGTGGCTGGTAATATTCCATTTCCTCGTCATACATCTGATTTCGAAAGAAAAATAGGAAAAAGGCGACGATGATTAGGATTCCCCCAGCAGCAGCGGTAAGACCGAGGGAGTAGTCAGCATATAAAATAAAGGCTCCAGCAAGGTTTCCTTTACCGGCTCCGTCCCGTATGACAGCAATATAGAACCAAATCACCGTGACCAGCAGACAGACACCTATGTATACAAATAATAAATGTGTGATCGACAGAGATATCTAAAATTGTACATTTTTTACTCAACAACAATTGCGATCATTATTCAGTCTTGTTGACCGAGATCAGAGCGCGCAAAGGAACACAAAATAAATATAAATTGGTCAATACTAAGAAGAATTTGTTACTTCTATAAAATAGATATTTTTTTCATTAATATTCATGAGTTCCTAACGAAGAAAAACACAGCTTTCCATTGACAAATAAATGCTATAATCAATACCTTAGACTGATATTAAGCAAGATAATGTTTTCATTCAACATGTGTTTTACAGAAACTGTTAAATATGAAATTACGTTGTGGTCAAGAAATACTAGTGATTACAGAAAATCTTCATATCGGGTGGAAGTGTAATGATTTAAGAAAAGTGAATTTTACCTGCGAACAGAGACAGCCAGGCCACATACATGAACAGTCGTCGGATAGAGTAGCATCTTAGCCCAACACCGTCTTCTTGACAATTAAGCACGTAGCAGATAACAAGGAGGATAGCAATGCATGCCAGGGCTATACCAAAAACGTGGAATACTACACAGCCGACATAGTCACCTGTCAATACAAGTAACAGTTCATAGATATAAGATATTACACAGAACATGTGACACACAGCCGACATAGCCAACTACTAAGAGAGGAAATCTTTGATTGAAATTCGTGCGCTACACAGAACATACGGCACACAACCGACATAGTCAAGAAGAATGTTATTTAAATTTCGTATTCATAAAACATGGTACTCTCAATCAAATGACAATACATATTACACGTCATATTGGCTTATAAAAGAAGCAGTGACATATACTGTATACTGTAGTGACTATACTCATAACAGAAATCTGGTATACCGTCTGTTTTAACTCATTCGTTGTCAAACATTTTCTTATTTTTCAGTGTCTATGTTACGTTCTGCACATGCTAATTTTGAACTGAAAAGTTCATCGTACTTCTGACATATATCTAGGGATCCTAAATCCGTCATTGTGATAGTCCTCATTCACAAAGCATTTAAAGCAATCGTCATATAATTATCTCCACCAATAATAGTGAAACAATGTATTAGTTGATATATGCAGAAAAAATGATACGTGCATGGCGAATCTTTTAGAAGAATTTATATAAAAAATGCTTTTGTGTAAGGACTAGTTCCAAAAATACTTGTAGAAAAGCCAGAGATAGACCGAACAAATATTTTTACATAATAATTGAAAATAAAGCAAAAGAATTACAGCACGTGCGTCTTTTTTCCTTCAATGTTCTTTTCTTGGGTTTGCATGAAGACGGTGTCCATGGAGGGTTGGTGTTATCCAATTTAAATGTCATAACCCGGACAGACCATATTGTACAGACTAATCACAACTTTCTAATACTCATTTAAACCTGAAATTTCAACCTGTGAAAGCTAAGTACTAATTTTATTGGTTTTGGTTTGTCTCAGTTAGAAGACGGGGCATACTAGAACCTTCCTCATTTAAGCTAGCGAGGTTTTGCCGAAATGTATGCTTTATCACTGTGTAAGGAATGGTTTTCACGGTAAAATCCATCCTCAAGTCCCAGTAACAAGAGTTCTTTGACATCAGCAAAAACGTAACTGTAACAATGTTTGTAGGAGGGAACATAGCCAACATCTCATAAAGTATAAAACAAAGAAAATAATTATCTAATTCAAGCTTTATCGTTGACAAAGTACCAATAATCCTTATTATAAATCAGTGTTGTTGAGATGGTAAAAAAGTAAGTGGTATCAGTGTAAATATCATCTTCATCATAACGTTAGTGATGAAATTTTTGATATCAACTTTATTATAATGTTTATGTATATTAGTGTAAAGAAATCAACAACCAAAATACCAACATATCAACAGAATTTACCGTAGAGCTAAATAATTGTGCTTATTGCATCATACAGCAGTTTTGTTCTTACAGGACGCATCATTGGTGCCATAACCTAAATTCTGAAACCTATGAGGCGACGGAGGAAGACCAAAATTGATAAAAATAAATCAATGTCAAGACCTAGATTGGAAGATCACTAGACCTATAATTCAGAAATTTCGTAATTTTCTGATAATTGATGATTTAAAAATATGTGTACATTCTAAATCGTCCCACAATTCGAATGAATTAAATCATAGCAGGTGACGACAAACCACACTAAATGTTCACCTGCAGTATCTACAACTAACACTCCCAACAGAATACCACAAGTAAAGACTATAATTCTCAAGGAGATATCTGTGATGACTTCCCAATTATCCTCATCAACCTGCGTTTCTCCAAACCATTAGTTATGAGTTCTTTTGTCACTTGCAATAAAAACCACGATAAAAGCAACCCTTTATTGAATATTGAATCAACTGTGACATGTTAACACCATAGATGGATGCGGGCATCGTGCTATCAAGGAAATGAAAATTGACAACAGGGAAATTTAAATCATCATTAAGAGAATGCTGTAGCTGTTTATTTCGTTGTAATGAAAGTTCGAGATGAGCGACTGATGCTGTAGAGTCTGTCGTGTCCTTGATATCAGATTTGGTAAGTGTATATGATCGACTTTTCCAGTAATTTTTCATGTAATTTAAAGACAAGAAACCGTCAACATATTTAAACGTGAAATTGAAGAACTACTCATGGACTAAGGTTTAGCATTACTTTGTGATCAATAATCCAATATTAGATACAACAAACTACGTCTTCGTGCACATTCCGGGCATTTGTTTTTGTTTTTTATCTTTGTTTTTTGTTTCAGTGTTGTTTATACATCTATATCGATCAATCTTGATTTTATTCGGTCATCTCCTACACTACAAATTAAATCCGTTTTCATTACCTACGTGTCCTGCAAGGACGCGGCAGCAGTATAACACATTTTAAATCCTTATTTGACTATACTGTATCTTACTAATTCATAATAAACTGTGTGTGTTTGTCTACAATCCTTAAATGTAAACAATAAAGTTAGAGCGGTTAAGGTGGATTTTGAAAGTCTATCCTCGTTTCAGTGTCAGACAGCAAGAACTGATACAGTCATTCTTTGTGTAAGTTAAACTCCTTTACTTGATCACGGAAGTAACTGGTGAATCTAAAGATATAAAGTACATACACATGTTCATTTATCAAGTATGTTGTTTGTTAAGAGAATATTTTTTTTATTTTAGTGTGAATTTTTAATAACGTTGCTTCTAGATGATAAAATTTGATTGAGACAGAAATGTCTTGTCAATATCAACACAGACATTACTCACATAACGTCTAGTATACGCCCTATCTATTTTTACAATATCCTTTACGATACGGTTAGTTGATCACACAAAAGTTGTCGGACAACCCCACCAACCATCGTTGAAGCCGTACAATATGGTCTATTTGTGGTTATCGTTTTACTTCATGACGTTGCATTCTGTATAAAGATTCTGATAACCGCTATTTTTTGTTAAATTGTCGAATTTTGTAAAGATATCAATTACAAGGCTAATTATATACATTGTAAACCTTACAACTGTCAATTGTTCACTTAGATAAAGTCCAGGTTTCAAGTATTCCTGGTTGTAGTTGTGTGATAGTAGGGGAAGACATAAAACACTGTCCTGGTAATAGTTGTGAGGAAGGGAAAGGAAGGGAGGGGGAACAATGAAGTGTCCCTGGTAATTGTTGTGAAGGGGAGGGGGAGGGGAGGTTGGGGGGAACAATGAAATGTCCCTGGTAATTGTTGTGGGAAAGGAAAGAGGAGGGGAGGTTAGGTGGGGGGGGGCAATGAAATGTCCCTTGTGATAGTTGTGGGGAAGGGAAGGAAAGGGGAGGGGAGGGGCAATGAAGTGTTCTTGGTGATTTTTGTGGGGAAGGGATGTTGGACAACATAATTATGATTATGGTAATGACATAGTTACATTTTAATTCCGTTATCACATAAAACCACCAATACACCAGATAGTAACACTGTACAGCACTGAAGTGTACGGTGCCCTGTCAGGCCACGACGTCACTATCATTCAGTGTCATATAATATACTACACAATTATATATTATTGTAGCGCTACATTATTGGAAAGCAGAGGCAATGGCTTCCGTCCTAATTATTCCGTTATTAGTGAACATAGAAATCGCTACAATATCAACATTTTCACGACTTATTCTTTATTCCATAAGCATGATTAAGCATTACACATAACCTTACCCGAGTATCGTGTCAGCTTCAAGTAGTTTAAGTATGTGAAGCATGTCGTCGAAACACACACATCAAAAAGTCCAGCTGTAAACGATACAGTGTTCGCCAATACAGCTCTATACCAATTCGGGGTGGCAAAACCTACCACTGCCAGTGTAAGAGCGATGAAGAGGATGAATAAGAGAATCCAACGGTTAGAAACGTCTTGTGCCATATTGTCTGTTGAAATGTCCAAACTCGTGACGAAATAAGTGTATATAGGAGTTTTAGTTCCCGAACAAAAGACACAGGTTTAGTAGCACGCCCCGTGTGTATCGTTCACATTTTCTAGTAATAATGTGTTTATAAATATCTTTTCTCACTGGAGCGTGTACTTTACATAAATGAGTTTGCATGCCGCTGTAGTCATGCTTAGTTCACTACAAATGAATAGAGCTATTTTCTATAAAAATCATTCGGTAAGGCTAAAGTTAACGTCTGGTAGTTGAAGCGACTCATGAACTATACAAAGTTTTACAATACGACTTGGTATTTAAACAGAAAGCTTGACAGACTAATGTCCCTTTTTTGTGTGTGTTTAACTGAAAGTCATGTTTTATTGTTCCTAGAACACGCAAGATAGAGAAAAATCCTAAACAGACGTCATACACCGATTATGTTACCCTAGTACAAGTTGCTTTGCATAATTAAGAACATGTTAACTATTTCGAAACTTTGAAATGTGCATGTTTGTGTTTTAACAGTATACATTTAATAACACAATCATATTTTCATCTGAAAAATTAGGACTGGCTACATGTAGGTGTTTGTGTTTCCTTCTATATTTCTCCTTTGTTCTCGATGACATGTACAATTATATCGTTTTTGTTTATTTTGTTTTTTTAAACATAATCTATCACTCGTTTTCATTTCGTATAAGATTTATAAAACTCTATTGTTACATTAAATTGGACACATATTTCGTTACCTAATTTGTAAATCTCATACGCATGGAAACTCAAGTAATATTCCGTATAAATGATTCATTTACATATTACCAACATCACCACAAAGTTTGTGAAATATTCCATATCAATGACGGGCAGAATGGATATATTGTTTGTATGGAATGAGATGTTCACAAGATTATAATCCCTAGGGACATGTGAACAAATTTATAGTCTTGGAGACATGTGAACGAATTGATAGTCTTGGAGACATGTGAACAAATATATAATCTTGGAGACATGTGAACAAATCTATAGTCTTGGGAGACACATGAACAAATTTATAGTCTTGGGAGACACGTGAACGAATTTATAATCCTGGAAGACATGTGAACGAATTTATAGTTGAAGGACACATATGAACAAATTTAAAGTCGTGGGATACATTTGAACCAAGCTATAGTTCTGAAAGACACAGAAGACATGTGATAAAATCTATAGTCCTGGGAGACACGTGAACAAATCTATAGTCATGGGAGACATGCGAACATACCTATAATCCTCAGAGACACGTGAATACATCTATAGTCCTGGGAGACACGTGAACAAATCTATAGTCGTGGGAGACACGTGAACAAATCTATAGTCATGGGAGACATGCGAACATACCTATAATCCTTAGAGACACGTGAATACATCTATAGTCGTGGGAGACGCGTGAACAAATCTATAGTCATGGGAGACATGCGAACATACCTATAATCCTCAGAGACACGTGAATACAACTATAGTCCTGGGAGACACGTGAACAAATCTATAGTCATGGGAGACATTCGAACATACCTATAATCCTTAGAGACACGTGAATACATCTATAGTCCTGGGAGACACGTGGACAAATTCATAGTCACGGGAGACATGAACAATAATCTATAGAGACACGTGAATACATCTATAGTCGTGGGAGACGCGTGAACAAATCTATAGTCGTGGGAGACACGTGAACAAATCTATAGTCATGGGAGACATGCGAACATACCTATAATCCTCAGAGACACGTGAATACAACTATAGTCCTGGGAGACACGTGAACAAATCTATAGTCGTGGGAGACACGTGAACAAATCTATAGTCATGGGAGACATGCGAACATACCTATAATCCTTAGAGACACGTGAATACATCTATAGTCGTGGGAGACGCGTGAACAAATCTATAGTCGTGGGAGACACGTGAACAAATCTATAGTCATGGGAGACATGCGAACATACCTATAATCCTCAGAGACACGTGAATACAACTATAGTCCTGGGAGACACGTGGACAAATTCATAGTCACGGGAGACACGTGAACAAATATATAGTCGTGGGAGACACGTGAACAAATATATAGAATGCGAGACAACTATAGTCCTGGGAGACAATCTATAGTCGTGGGAGACACGTGAAAATCTATAGTCATGGGAGACACGTGAACAAATCTAAGTCGTGGGAGACACGTGAACAAATCTATAGTCATGGGAGACATGCGAACATACCTATAATCCTTAAAGAGACACGTGAATACATCTATAGTCGTGGGAGACGCGTGAACAAATCTATAGTCGTGGGAGACACGTGAACAAATCTATAGTCATGGGAGACATGCGAACATACCTATAATCCTTAGAGACACGTGAATACATCTATAGTCCTGGGAGACACGTGGACAAATTCATAGTCACGGGAAACACGTGAACAAATATATAGTCGTGGGAGACACGTGAACAAATCTATAGTCATGGGAGACATGCGAACATACCTATAATCCTTAGAGACACGTGAATACATCTATAGTCGTGGGAGACGCGTGAACAAATCTATAGTCGTGGGAGACACGTGAACAAATCTATAGTCGTGGGAGATACGTGAACAAATCTATAGTCATGGAAGACACGTGAACAAATCTATAGTCTTGGGAGACACGTGAACAAATCTATAGTCATGGGAGACATGCGAACATACCTATAATCCTTAGAGACACGTGAATACATCTATAGTCCTGGGAGACACGTGGACAAATTCATAGTCACGGGAGACACGTGAACGAATCTATAGTCATGGAAGACGCGTGAACAAATCTATAGTCGTGGGAGACACGTGAACAAATCTATAGTCATGGGAGACATGCGAACATACCTATAATCCTCAGAGACACGTGAATACAACTATAGTCCTGGGAGACACGTGGACAAATTCATAGTCACGGGAGACACGTGAACAAATATATAGACGTGCGAGACACGTGAACGAATCTATAGTCACGGGAGACACGTGAACGAATCTATAGTCATGGAAGACACGTGAACAAATCTATAGTCTTGGGAGACACGTGAACAAATCTATAGTCGTGGGAGATACGTGAACAAATCTATAGTCGTGGGAGACACGTGAACAAATCTATAGTCATGGGAGACATGCGAACATACCTATAATCCTCAGAGACACGTGAATACAACTATAGTCCTGGGAGACACGTGGACAAATTCATAGTCACGGGAGACACGTGAACAAATATATAGTCGTGGGAGACACGTGAACAAATATATAGACGTGCGAGACACGTGAACGAATCTATAGTCACGGGAGACACGTGAACGAATCTATAGTCATGGAAGACACGTGAACAAATCTATAGTCTTGGGAGACACGTAAACAAATCTATAGTCGTACATCTATAGGGAGATACGTGAACAAATCTATAGTCGTGGGAGACACGTGAACAAATCTATAGTCATGGGAGACATGCGAACATACCTATAATCCTCAGAGACACGTGAATACATCTATAGTCCTGGGAGACACGTGGACAAATTCATAGTCACGGGAGACACGTGAACAAATCTATAGTCGTGGGAGACACGTGAACAAATCTATCAGTCTTGGGAGACACATGAACAAATCTATAATTATGGGAGCTATGGAAAACCAACGCACGGAGAAGGAAAAACATGAGTTTTATTATTGTTTACAATAGAAATCATCCTTTGATTAAGCTGTTCACAAGTATTATGTTGCACTAGGTTGTATCTTCTTATTACGGATGTCTGACTTAGCGGCTCAAGATGTGTTTACGTAGGTAAGTCTGTTCCTGGTTCCCACCGTCAAAAAACGTTTTTTCTTTAATATGCAAAGCAATATGATTCGCTGTAGTATATTTATCAGGTTGAGAAAACGTGTCTCTGTATATCCATTCAAGTGTCCTGCTTTTTTTATTATGCATATCGTGTGAACGAGATGTAGACTTCTGAAAGCAAATATCTGCGTCCTGTTAGATTGATCAAGTTCTTCCCTGCAAGTCTCCAAAGTTCTTCGATTTTGGGATTTTGTTTTTCTGTTAAAAACCTTTAACATCGAAGTTGTGATACAGAGCTTCAGTATTTCGAATTGATATTTGGGATGTTTTTTCCCTTCTTTTTTTTCCCCCGAATTTGTTCTGTATGGTTTATTCAGGTTTTGATCCCCTGGTCTCAGCATTGCATATATATATATTAACACGATATTCATTGTAAGGTACAGGGTGTTACAAAGTAGTAGAAAAAAGAGAATATCATAAAATGAATTTTGGATAATAGAAAATAATACAATAGACTTCTAGTCGAGGGTGTAGCACCCAAAAAGTTGTTGAGGTTCTGACTTCAAAGTTTACATTTAATGGTCGATAATTCATGTCACAGGTTCTAAATTCTAATTGAATTGAACGCAAATAAACATAGAACATACTGAACAGCATGATTATAGATGTAGATTTATAACATATCTTCTAACCAAGTTAATCAAACAACGAAAGAATAAACCTGCTCGGCTAATAATACATAAAAATCTTCCTTCTGTGTATCTAATGTGTTATGTTGTTAATTTAACCGCAGAAGTAGTGAAACAAGTTTTCACAGTAATTTGACAGACTTTATGAAAGGATTCCCCCAGTTTCTTCAGGTTTTCTCCCTCTGTAAAACCCCTTTACTGCCGGATGACTTTGAGTATAACTTATGTGGTATTTAATGTTACGTATCACACTTAAAAACTCATGTTTGGTAATGACCGCTGTTAACTGCCTGGGATATGGTGTTGATCTGGGCGTTCGCTATTAACGGCTGTATACCGGGTGGGGATTGACACAGGAAATAATACAGTAACTAGTGATACTTAATGTTGTATTAGCAAGTTCTTTGTAGCATGCAGATTTGGTTTTGAAATAAATGCATTAATAGATAAACTCATGAACCCTAAATTTTGATAAAGTAAAGAAAGTGATGTAGATTTCACAGGGCTAGTGTTGTACAAAAACCTACAATAAAAGTTACCAAAATATGTACAAATGTTTGTTTCTATCAGCATCTCTCATCCAAATCTATTTGACTGTAATACTCAAATAAAACGATGTGTATATAATGTATTTAATGTGACTGTTTATGACATATCGAGGTGTATATAATGTATTAAATGTGACTGTTTATGACATATCGAGTTGTATATAATGTATTAAATGTGACTGTTTATGACATATCGAGGTGTATATAATGTATTAAATGTGACTGTTTATGACATATCGAGGTGTATATAATGTATTTAATGTGACTGTTTATGACATATCGAGGTGTATATAATGTATTTAATGTGACTGTTTATGACATATCGAGGTGTATATAATGTATTAAATGTGACTGTTTATGACATATCGAGGTGTATATAATGTATTTAATGTGACTGTTTATGACATATCGAGTTGTATATAATGTATTTAATGTGACTGTTTATGACATATCGAGGTGTATATAATGTATTAAATGTGACTGTTTATGACATATCGAGGTGTAAATAATGTATTAAATGTGACTGTTTATGACATATCGAGGTGTATATAATGTATTTAATGTGACTGTTTATGACATATCGAGGTGTATATAATGTATTTAATGTGACTGTTTATGACATATCGAGGTGTATATAATGTCTTTAATGTGACTGTTTATGACATATCGAGGTGTATATAATGTATTTAATGTGACTGTTTATGACATATCGAGGTGTATATAATGTATTTAATGTGACTGTTTATGACATATCGAGGTGTATATAATGTATTTAATGTGACTGTTTATGACATATCGATATGTGTGGGGATGATTGTGCCCTCAAAATCTCTAGAATTATGAAAAATTCTAAATAGAGTAACTCAGAAAGTGCAACTCATTTTCTTTCTTTCTGTGTTATACATTAAATTCGGCTAATTTTAGATTCCGTCCAAATATTAAATTTATCTCTTTCTTTTTTGTATTTTACAGTTTAACATTTATATAGACATGGTCTGATACGGTTTATATAGATATCAGGCCATGACTATTGGTATTTGCAACATCTTCTTTATGATACCTCATATCGGGAGAACACACACGCAGCACAGTATAACAATATTCTATTCATGCCGTTGCTGTTTTTTACGTTTTATGTAGAGATATTATAAAAACATCGACATGTCAACTGAAACAGAAAACAAGTACGTGCTTCCGTAGTAATGATCTATATATAGTTATCATCTAACAGGACTGGTACCTACAGAAAACAAGTACGTGCTTCCATAGTAATGGTCTACATAAGACCGTCATCTGACAGGACTGGTACCCACAGAAAACAAGTACGTGCTTCCATAGTAATTGTCTATATAAAACCGTCATCTGACAGGACTGGTGCCTATAGGAAACAAGTACGTGCTTCCACAGTAATGGTCTACATAAGACCGTCATCTGACAGGACTGGTACCCACAGAAAACAAGTACGTGCTTCCATAGTAATAGTCTATATAAGACCGTCATCTGACAGGACTGGTACCCACAGAAAACAAGTACGTGCTTCCATAGTAATAGTCTATATAAGACCGTCATCTGACAGGACTGGTACCTACAGAAAACAAGTACGTGCTTCCATAGTAATGATGGTCCGTGATTTGTTAGAGAGCATTATGAAATTAAACTAGGAACCAAAATACATTACCGAAAACTGACTTTATTGTTTATACACTTATATTAACCATTGAATTTTTATGTTGATTATGTAATGCTAAACAATTATGTGTTAACACATTCTGCACTGAAGATGTTACCTAGCACCTAGAGATATATTTGAATGGAACTGGGCTTCATCCCATCTTTTCTTAGAAAAGAATCTAACTGAAGTGCTGAACTGTATAGCACTCTACGTCATCGATTTTCTGCGACACATAACAGGAAGGAAAGACATGAAATGAAAGAAATGTCATTTGTTTTAATTTACCGTCGAGGATATGTACCACTAATCTGTTGCTCGTTTGTTCTCTTTTTGTTAAACATTACCATTTATCGTTTGAATAAATCGTAAATAATGCAATTCAAGGCGTAGGCATATACCTAGATAATTATCCTGTTTATATCATTGTGAAGAAATAGCATGCGGACAAGTACGAATATACTTATGGGCGGGTCTTGTTACTTTAAATTAAAAAAAAGATATTTTCTACGTTTTAAGTGTTTTGCTCACTATGACGTATGAACGTGACATAACTGAATCAGTCACTTCAGTAAGAAACATCAAAACACAGGTATTAAATACGTTTCTTCGTGTTTCATGAGAAAAACGAAGAAACGAAAGAAAAATCTTAATGGATACCTAAATCATATTTGTTGGTGATTTACAGGAGGGGAAATAACTCTTAGATTTTTTGCGAGGAAAATTGTTTATGTTAAAATTGTTCTTAAGTAGTTTTACTCATACCAATTGTCTACTGTCAACTACAGCAGACAGAATTTCAGGACCATTATTAGATAATTCACTTACTGTTAAACCTGTAAGTGTTCTTTACGAGGTGTCGCTATGTCAAAGGGTTGAAATTACGAACCTATATTAACGTTTTACGTTGGCTTTTATGCCACTGAAGAGCTGAAACTCATGCACGACTTGTACTCCTTAAACCAAAATGTCTATAAAAAACCCTCGAGTTAAAGCAACATATTAAGACCGTACAAAAGAGCGCCTTAAACAACCACCAACCAAAACATTACAATGTTGATATAAGTAATCACGTCACTAACAATGTCACTTAATTTTCCGTTTCCTTTGATCCGTGATGTCATTTCCACTATTTTCTCACTCGTAGTGTTGGTCGGGACGGCCACCGGCTGATTTATGTTACCTTGTAATATTTATAGGATGCTGATACGTTATAGAACATAGAAAAACCAAAGTCCTGTTATAATGTTATTGTGTTTATTGTAAAACAGACTTTGTTATCAGGCAAATCATAAACGTAAAAATTAAAAAAAAAAAAAAAAAAAAAAAAAAAAAAACAAAACAAAAACACAAGGCACAAATGGCAGTATACAAATAATGAGATGATACCAACATTGATAAGTATCGGCAGTTTCTACACGATGTCAAATTTATTTATAAAAAAAATATCAATATTGTTTACAAGCTATCAATTCCACATACAGGTCGATGTTGTTTTCACGGCAATTACGTCATAAGGTGAAATAAACATTGTTCGATTTGGTGTGATCTGATAATGTTCTATGTCTTTGTAGTTGGATTGCTACCATTAACTGGCTAATACAACATTTTAAACTCAAAATATATATGGCACTAAGTCATATTCGCCAGTCCTCTTCATGCATGGTAATACACGTTATTATTGCTATATTATCCAATGTATTCAATGTCTTTATTACACGCAAGTCGCAATATAACTGCCTAAGAGAGCAGATATTTACAAAACATTACAAAGCACTGGCATATGAAAACTGCAATAAACGTCAGGCACGTGTCACCACATGGAAAACAAGAACGCGCAATGCACGAGAGTTTACTTCTCAATCTACCGATGAACACATCCGACCTAAGAATGGTCAGATGATATCCGTTGTTGAACTAAATATGTTCAGAAATATTTGTAGCAATATTATCATAATCGAAAACATTCATGTTTAATACGAAGATGGTTTTTCGTTCATCTGTGCTGGTAGTGCAGGGTTCGGAGCACATGGACCGTAGTCTCCAATAGCCGAAGGCTGGCCACCGTAGATAGGAGGTGGCACGTATATAGGCTGACCACCAGGTGGAGCGACAGGTGGGGCGTATCCAGGGTGGTCGGTATGTTGGACAGCCGCCATATTTGCAGGATCTGCTGACTGTGTCGCCAAATATCCTTGCGGGTATCCTGATGGTTGAGGACCAATGGGTTGCTGACCGTTTATTTGTGTTTGAGACTGACCTGTGATTGGCTGCTGATTTATAAACTGCTGGTTGGAAGTCGCCATGATGATCATGGGTTGCTGCCCAGTTGCATGTGGGGCCTGGGCGACGATTGGTGGTGCAGGCATGTTCTGGGCTATGACGCAGCTGCTGATTCCTATGACCAACATACCGATACCACTGACAAGAGACAAGACGAAGGAATAGCCCAGTGTGACGATAGCAGACGTGTATAAACTGTATAGGGTACCGATATTATTGTAGAAAGCCAAAGCAAACCAGGTCACAGACACCAGGATGAAAAAGGCTGCAAATATCAGCAAATATCAAAGTTTGAACAAGAGACACACAAGTCAGTTGTACATTTGAACATGTAGAATTACATACAGTCAATTCATGATTAAACTAGGACTCGTCAACGATGTTAAGAGCATTAGTTGTAAAAGGTATGAGATGACAGGGGAAATTGTTTGCAAGAAAATTAGACAAAAATAGATAGGGAGGTGTATTGAATCTGATAATTTCAGACGAAACGTCAATACATCTGTATACTTATAAATGATGTAATATATTTAGTAGGGTGCTCCAAGTAACAGGTATATAAAGAAGAATTAATTTTCTCATGCTAATAAAACATGTAATATATATATATATATATATATATATATATATATATATACAAATGTTTTGTTAATCCAAGTTAGTAATACCACGTTCTCAAATAAGAACAAGGTTTATAACAATGTGACAACCAGATATACTAATTAGTATGGAAAGTGATATAATACAGTTCCATTTAGGTTGTGTTTGAAATATCAGCCAACATCCGAAAAGAAGCCAGTAACGTAACGGGGAAACTTTAACCTCACCTGAGACTTAAACTTTACAACACATTCAACGCATATTGTTTATAGTGTTACGACAAATCGAATCCGCATCCCATTATAGTCTATATAGTACAGATGTTTGATTACCTGATGAGAAACATAGACTAGCCAGTTTTTTTATGATGATCTTCTCCGGTCGTTTGCTGCTTGTCGCTCCCACTATTCCTGATATTGTTGAAATAAGCATTAGGGTACATCCAAGACATTGACACACCACGAATCCGAGGTAGTGGACTAAAACAGCATTGAACAAAAGTTTCAGTTCAACCATATTTAATTGTCGTTAAGCAAAAGGATTGGGCACAAGCTACATCATCATTATTAACTCCCTTTCCTTAAGAAGAAAAACATTTGCATATACACAATTCAAGATGTCTAAAAATATATGTGTACATTGAGAGAGAGAGAGAGAGAGAGAGAGAGAGAGAGAGAGAGAGAGATTTACTCGAATTTCATGGCTAAATAAATAAATTCGTACACAAATACATCTTAAATATATCATCAAACACAATCACGCGTACTTATATTAACATAATAATAGTTGAATGTATAAGATAATTGTCATGCAAATGGTACACTCCACTACAGCCGACGCAGTAAGGACCTAACCCAAAACAAGATAGAGACGACCGATTAATCGATACATATTTAGGTAATCAAACAATTAACTTTGTGATTTTAATTAGATAGTATGACATTCAAGATAATTTAACCTGAAAATAAACCTAATATAATACCAGGTTGTTATTTGCTGAATATCATATCCTCAGTATCTCTGGAAGTAACGGATAAAAGGACTGATATTAAGAAATTGTGCAGTTTGTATTTTATGTCTTTTAATAACCATGTATACTTTATATATCATAAAAACATCACAATGATTTATGACAAGATGATTCAATCAATCGCTTTCAAATCTTTTAATGGTGTTGGTATTTCCTCTCTCAGTCAAACCCATTTCTGAAAATTATTTTCTAATAATCAAATAATGAACTTATCAACCTATAGGTGGAACCCATATACTTTTGTATTGTTTAACGGTCGTTGGACTAGTCTTTGTTTAGGACCGCTGTTTAGTAATTTCAGTTTGTCCTTTTTTAGATTTACAAACCCGGAACAGTTTACAACTGCAAAAGTCTTTTTTACCTACCCGTATAGAGTGTAACAAAGACTACTACTTATTACTACTAACGACTGCAGCAATCAGGTCATCAGTTTTATTTAAATTTTAACGATGCTTTATTTCAACTAAAAAAAAACTTTTTTGCGATGATAATGTCAAATGGCCGAATCACTACCCGATCATTTTTGTTTTTGATTACTGAAATTCAAAAATCGCCTATTACAGATTAAAAAAACACGGTGCTCTTTTTCAATGTCATTGAGTTTTGTACAGCTAACCACTTAAGTATCCATTACGGTCCTCATCGTAGATGTAGTATATGTAAGTAATTAAAGACCATATAAGGACACTTGTTCGTCTTGCTTTATGCTTAGTGGTGTTTATAAATATAATTTACAGCCAAGACGATGAACAACGCGAGTGTTCATAAACAACTTTTATATAAAATATACTCTGTAATATTGAATTCTATTATCTATTTCTTTATCGTTTATGATCTGTAAAGTTATGTTACATTAACTATGACATGACTTAACAAAAATATAGATATTTATCGATATGGAAGAGTGAATGGGATGTATTCAAAAGTAACCACTTGGAAACACCTTTTTTTTATGATAAATGAGAATAGGATTTAGTATTGAACTCCATTAGAAATACAGGACTGAAAACATATCGCTGGTGTCAGTGTACGACAATGTCACGAGATTGTTGCTAGGAGAGAAATCTCACTTTTTGTATTGGTCATAATGATATTCCGTAATATGGGTTCTTTGAAGTAAAATACCAATTGATTTCTTTATCGATGGATTTATACAGTGAAGTACGAACAGAAAACCATGGTTAATGATAATCACCATCCTCTCTTTCATATTCTTTATTCAATACACTCTCTTTAGTCATAAAACTAATGCGCATTTTCTGCAAGCAATAATGGTTCAGCTTCTAACTTCAAAGAGACCTTGCTAATAACATGTGTCTACAGCCTATGTTCTGCATTCTTGATTAAGCTTTAAGAACATACCAAATTATGTCTCAAATAAAATGATCTGGGTTATTGTTTGAAAACAGTGGCGCCATTTTGTGTTGTCACTTACTTGAAAATCCAAGGTACCCGATGAAAGTGACGCATTCATTCGTCACACATATTTGGAACACGCCAACATGTAGTCCAAAGGCTTTGATAACCATCCAGTGTGGTGTGGCCAGGCCAATTATCTCCATCAAAAACATAACCCCTATCACAGCAGTGGCAATAATGATAGGTGTCTTCGCCATTTTGACTCAGAACTTTCTTAGAAATAGTGCAGAAGTATTAATTCCTTTCCCTAATAATCTAGTACACGTGCCCTTGAACATCATCTGTCGATCACCTGCTGCTTAACTGAAGTATTATCGCTTCTCTTACCTGGTTACAGGTAAACATTACCAGCGCGTCCTTTACCTTTCTCAATTATTCTTTCATAGGAATAGCAAATGACCTGTTGCCAAGAGAACTATGTAAACGTTTACCCATTTCTGCCTTGGACCTTTTTTGATGATGTATGGACCTTTTTGATGATGTATGGACCTTTTTGATGATGTATGGACCTTTTTTGATGATGTATGGACCCTTTTTGATGATGTATGGACCTTTTTTGATGATGTATGGACCCTTTTTTGATGATGTATAATAATTTATATTGCAATATTTACAAAATATACCAATGTATCTTGTGGTTTGTTTATTTGGACAATGTCCTGTTTTGATCCGTATTTTCGATCGATCCTGGTAATTCAGTAGTATTTTTATTCTCAATACGTTTCGTTGACGTTGTCACATTCAGACATGTGAGCATCATGCAAATTTGACTCGATAGAAAAATAGAACCAATAAATTATAAATTTAGTTACAATGTCAGGAGGTTGTTTGTTGGTAAGCGATGACGGCATGACAGGTACAGAATCGGTGATGTATGAAGCAGCAGATACAAATCAATATAGCTTATATTGATGCTACTGGCTTGTCTCCGTGGTTATGTGACGTAATCGAATCAAACAAACAAACAATTACTAAACAGGATGAAATACGATAGATTAATTTTGTGATACACTGATGTAGAATATTCGATTGATGTAATCATCATCACCAGTATACCCAATCCTTAATGAATCTTTTAGTGACTTCAAAATTCAGGCCTATGGCATCACTGACGAGTCATAGAAGGACGAAACAGTTGTATGATGTAGTTTAATTCATTGTTTGCCTCTACTGTATTTAACTCTACATTATTGGAAGGTGCTATTCACTTGTGTGTCTTTTGTGTACAATCTTAAATAATTATCTTCAGTCTTCAACAAAGTGATAAATCTAAGATGACAGGAGAAAAAGAAATGAATGGTTGTTCCTAAAGTAGGTATTACAAATCGTTCGTCTTCAGTTGATGATGATGTTGTTCGTCATTTTTATTCGGTGTGTGATTCGTTCGATTGCTCAAACACATGTGGAGCAGTCAACCTACAGACATTCTAAACATTGTAATGACAGAGAAGGTTAGCTTTGTAGTCGGGAGACTGTCACCAGTTATGATTTATAATTAACACAACTGTAGAAGAGGAAACAGCATTGCATAACAATGAATTAAACTGCGTCCTTCTAGGACTCGTCATTGATGCTAAGAGCCTAAATATTCAAACCAACTATCCAGAAAGTCGGATTAGGTAGCCAAATAAGATATTGTTATAACTGACATATACCTCGAAAATAAAGAAAATAAAAAAGCCAGAAAAAAATACCAAAAACAATGACCGTAATGTTTTTACTAGTAATTTTCTGGTGAGCACGAGAGGTATTATTGCGCGAACTAGATGAATAATTTTTGCACGGAAGAATCGGAGCGCGGGTATATTGTTCCACATTGAGGTTGTCTTGTTGGAGGAGTTATCGTCTTATGGTGCCTTTAGCATCCTTATCTTGTCTAGATATCTTTTCTCACAGTTTTAATCAATTTCTTTAAAACTTAATATGCTTTATTACGATGACATGTAACTCGTGTTTTTCCAAAATGGCGGTTTAATTCGACATTAATTTTGCTGTTATGTCGTGCTTTCTCAATAGATGCACGTTTTCCTTTTGAAAATTGTTAAGTGCAGAAATATTTCATAAATTGGGACAATAGAAATGTTTAAGTAGTTATGGAACTGGAACGGTATATTGCAAAGCAACAAAATGTTAATTGATGTCACTAGCCATACTTTTACAGACGATTGGTGAATACTTTCTTTGTTATCTTTTCATGTCAAGTCAGAAAAGGCTCAAAATTTGGTCACGCAATTTTACTGCTAAACTCAATCTAACTTAAATGACTCTTGTCATGGACCATCACCAAATCAGAACTTTTTGCTTCCAAAATTTTTCACACAAAATTACTTTTCAAAACATTTTATTTATCCGACAGTAAATATTTATAGTAAATAAGCGGAAATGAAATGAAGTGTAAATTAGTTAATGGTGTGTGAAGAGACAGAACGTTGCTCATGCGAGACCATGGTCGCTTGGTTTAAAAAATCAACACCAGAATGATTGTATGAAAGACATGTTGTCAATTTATCATACTTTCAGCTTAATTATTACACAACTGATAAATCTTCTTAGATTCAAGGTAACAGTTTATGAACAAATGAATGACGTCAGCAAGCTAAATTCATATACGTGTAGTTGAAACAATGACATCATGTTTAAACAAGCATAGAATCCTGTTAAAGCATCAGCTGGACTTGTCAAATGATTTTCCTCCACGTCTATAGTTACCGGCTTATATATGTCTTTGTCACGTGGTATCCGTCCGAGTCTTCAGTGTCTATCTTGTGCTAATCATTGTTGTTCAACGCAATTTAATGGAATTTCATTATCGTAATAGGGACCTACTATAGAACATAATGGCGTGTTTGCCTTTATTAGAGGTAAAAAGCAAACCTGGTAAGACTTTTATCAAGATAGTCTGCAGAGAACCGTCCGTCCGCGTTAAGGAAGTATTCCTCTGAGAAGTATAAAAGATCAATTATCAAACTTTTTTCTGACGAAGATTTTTGAAAGGTGTGATTTTAGAAAGAAGATTAAAAAAATATAAAAAATATGTTGCTGCACTGCGTTTCCGGCACAGACGTGTATATGTATATATTTGTAACCGTACAATTCTTATTTATTTCCTGAATCACAAAACATATTATCTCCGCGACAACATTTTAAAAATTGAATTTTCGTCTTTCATTACAAAGTAAGGGTATTATACTTGAATTATGAGAAAAATATCATAGAATTATGCTGCTAAATTTACATTTGTTTCTACGAGTTTTCATCTCCATAGCTACCAAAATATAAAACTATTCAAAAAGGACATAAATCTTTTATTTGACTATCTCCTAGTATTAGACTCATTTTACGGCTTGTAGATTTGATAGAGAGACATTTTGATGATGCTTTTGATGATTAGGAAAGAGCAGTCTGTGTGGTTTATTTTTTGCAATTTTTACCTAAACAGAGTTTTTTTCAAGATCAAGACACTGTCTGAAATATTTATTATTCGGTGCTAACAGCTGGGAAACTTAGAATATGTGATTCGTGATTATAATACAAGGAAAATTTAGTTGAAATCTACCCAAAACTTCGAGAGATATACGAGAGAAGTACCTTAGCAACCAGAAAACGTTGAAATTGATGACGCTCCAAACAGAGACATCCAGAATTGAGCAGTCTTTCGCAGAAGGATGTACTATCAAACCTCTATACTTTGGTTATGCTGACTTGTACCATATATAAATCTACGGTTTCCCCTTGCGAAGATACTTTGCATGTCCGATAAAAGACCATTTTCTATCTCCATTTCATCTCGAAGTAGTTATCCAATACAGCTCAAAGATTGTTTGTTTTAAGTCCAAACAATATTATGCTGGAATTCATTTGAAATTTCATTATGTCCTACTTCCGGTCAAAACATCAGAGGAAAACACCCTTAATGTCTCCAAACAGAGACATCCAGAATTGAGCAGTCTTTCGCAGAAGGATGTACTATCAAACCACTATACTTTGGTTATGCTGACTTGTACCATATATAAATCTGCGGTTTCCCCTTGCGAAGACACTTTGCATGTCCGATAAAAGACCATTTTCTATCTCCATTTCATCTCGAAGTAATGCTGGTATACCACCACTATCCAATACAGCTCACGTAAAATACGCATGGGTCATTGTTTGTTTTATTTACTTCCATCCAAACAATATGACGAGAATACCCTTTGATACAACAATTATTCATATCCCATTTGGCTTCAGTTTATCGTACGAGTCCAGGAAACATACGAAATTCTGCCCTCTTGATATATATTCTCTTCTCCTAAGTTTCCTTTACCTTCTTAAGGATACACCACTATGCAGTCCCATTTCATGCAGACATCCTTTTACCATGTATTGTTGACAGAAAGCGTTGTATATCAGAGTATGCTATCTCCATTAGAAATATTACTTCATAAATGCCCTCATGCTTCGTTCTGTCATTTGCGTATTTTGATGACAATTCGTGCACGCGAGATTAAAAGGATTGGTCCTCATGAGAGAACTCGTGTGCACGAGATAATTTTCCGGTGCCATCAAAATAATTACTCGTGTGGACAAGATAATTAGCTCGTGGTCCCTCGTTAATAACTCGTGCTCACTAGATGGCATCTGATGACCACGAGAAAATAATTCGTGCGAACGACATTGAAATTATTCCTATGTGTCAACAAAGAAGCTTCGTAAATAAATAATAAAGATAAAAAAACACTTAGAAAATAAAGTTATTGAAATCTTTATTCAAATCCAGACGTAACGAAAGCAGAACAAATATGAACAGAAATACATAGATATCGTTGTACAAGAAGAATAAGACCTGGAGTCCAGAAGGTAAACCATGTAAGTTTACGAAACCTGCTTGATAATTTGTGAGCCTCATATTTAAGAGTTTGACTTTTAGCGGACATATTGCATTATTTTTCAAAATAATCCCCTTCAGTATCTATGCACATTTGCCAGCGATGGTTATGGAGCCCAATGCCACTCTTAAAAAAGTAATTTCCCATACCGTTTAGAAAGTCCTCCATTGCAGATATGGCGTCATCATTTGACCGAAAGAGGGTACCAGAAATGGCCTTTTTTCAATTTTGGAAGATGAAAGTCTGATGGAGCGAAATCAGGCAAATAAAACGGATGCTCAATCAATTCAAGGCCACAATCGTTAATGGCAGTCATGGGAATGACAGAC